AAATATTCATGTATTATTTTTGGAGATTTCAAGGCAGCAGTGCGCACAATAAAAATGAAGAAAAATTTTTAATTTTTTTCTGAAATTTCCATTTTTTTGTGGTGGCGGGCGCACTAAATGGCTAAAAATAAAATTTTCTTTTTATTCCAAATCATCATTATTGGTTCGCTAAACAAGGTATAAAAAAAAGTCTCTCCTAAATTAAAAAAAAAAAAACCCTAAGTATAAGCTTAAGAAAACTTATCACTACTAAAACAAAAAAATGAAAAAAATATTATAATTGTATAAAATTATAAGAAATAAATTGCATTGCAGGCAATAACAATAAAAAACTTTAGAACATTATTACCTTGCAATCTGCCCTGTTAAAAATGTTTAGAATTATGGTAAAAAAAAAATTACTATGTAAGTTACTATGGTAACAAATAAATCTATCATCATCAATAATGAGAGCAAAAAAAACAGATAAGCTACCTTTAAGCATACCTTTTGCTGGATAACCATGACTTTTTATTGAAATTTTATTTTTATTCCAAATCATCATTATTGGTTCGCTAAACAAGGTATAAAAAAAAGTCTCTCCTAAATTAAAAAAAAAAAACCCTAAGTATAAGCTTAAGAAAACTTATCACTACTAAAACAAAAAAATGAAAAAAATATTATAATTGTATAAAATTATAAGAAATAAATTGCATTGCAGGCAATAACAATAAAAAACTTTAGAACATTATTACCTTGCATTCTGCCCTGTTAAAAATGTTTAGAATTATGGTAAAAAAAAAAATTACTATGTAAGTTACTATGGTAACAAATAAATCTATCATCATCAATAATGAGAGCAAAAAAACAGATAAGCTACTATCTAGCACTGGGTGGGAGACTGTAATATTTGGGAGACATAATATTTTACAATTTGATAGAATCAGACTGGTTATTACATAATACTGTAGGTAATCTTCATCTACTATAAAAACAAAAATACTAAAAATTAATGTTATTTTTTATTAATGTACTTGAGCATGATTTTTTTGCTTTGCACATTTTCAGTGGGGGAGGGGGGAACCAATTGAGGAAGCACAATTAGTTTTTTTTTTGGGGGGGGGGGCGGAGAACATGTGCCCCAAGGCCTCCTCTAGACACGCCACTGGTGATCAAAAAATAATATGAAATGTATAGAGGCCAGTATAATGCAAAAGACCAACATGTCAAAAATGGATGATGGTACGTATGGTATTTTATGGCACTCATATTCCAATACCAGCATCCTAGGTTCAAATCTAGGTCATAAATTCTTTCCAAGGAATCAAAATTTGAAAATACAAAATATAAATTCCAATACGTGAAGTTAAAATGAAATTTTAAGCATACCTTTTGCTGGATAACCATGACTTGCTCTGGTGGTATGTAGTCGAACTTGAAAACGAATCGCCAGTTGAAATTACCCTCACCATTTAAGGACCGGTAATGCACGTCAGTGTGCAGTCTATCATCTTGACCTTTGAGCCATCTGAACAAAAGAAAAATACGCTTAACATGGTTAAGATGTACTTGATAGCTTGTGAAATAACCCTAATACACTAGGATAACTAAACCAACAGGTCTATATACTTATCCACTCATGTTCTACATACAGACAAATCCAATTGTTCCATTGCTGGACACCTTTTTAGGGCCACGAAGTGCATTTCATGTCCGTGTTCAGTGGTGCAAAGTATTTTGCATAGATTCCTATCATTCCAGCATTTACATTTGTAGCAGATGATGCGTATTTAAGAATCCTTTACCAGGTCCCCAGTTATGGTGTCTATGGCTGGGCACGCACTGCATTGTACAACCGCTGTACTACTAATCCGCTAGACGACGTGAGACCATCTACTGATTGTCGGTGTCAGTCTGAACGGATCGTCGTTAAAAACGACCTTCATGCAGAATGAGTACCCGGCTTAAAGCTCTGTCCACACTATCAAATTTTCTTTGACAAAAAAAATGTTGTACACCCATATATGGTCATGATGTGCCCATATATGGTCATGATGTGCCCATATATGATCATGATGCGCCTATATATGGTCATGATGTGATGTCATCATGACCATATTTAGGCATGTAATGTTTTTTTTTTCAAATAAAATTTGATAGGGACAGGGCTTAAAGCTTTGTCCCCACTATCTAGTGACATAATATCTTTGATTTGCCCACATAAGATAGTTGTATTATATTGCACGTGACATCATCATGCCTATAATTAATATGACATCATGTCCATATATGGGCAAATCACACATACCTGTCACATTAAACTTGATATTTTGCACAAACCAAAAAAAAAACCACATACTGTACAACTAACAACAGTAACTAAGTAAGATGAAAGTAAAGTCGGATTGAATTGGATTTATTCGGTGTAAACACCAAGGATAGTCCACGAAAGTTTAGAAGACAACTTATTTTCAGTGGGGTCCTTCTGGTGGTGATTGGACAGTACACCGGGAGACAATCCCCTACTCTTTTCTGAAGAGCGTACTGTGTTCTTTAACGTGCACATGGGCCATAATGCACACGGGACCAACGGCTTAAATGTCTCATCCAAAAGACGATACGCTATTGTAACTTGTATTTCAGCCCTCTAACTGAAACACAAGGAGAGGCAGTGATGGGAATTGAACCGGGGACCTAGACATCTTCGCGGTTCAGCGCACACACAGTGGCTACCAACAGATTAGCCGACTGAGCTAAGCTGCTCTCTGTGCGATCACTGTGCAATTTATACTTTCAAAAATCAAGTCTAAAATTAGAATAGGATATTATAATTCAACCATGGCTCCCTCAAAAAACACCATTTTATCATGGATTCATTTATTAACAAATTAAGTTTGTGTGTTCATTGTGGATAAAGTGTTCTTGAGTTAACTTAAAGTTGTTGTAAAATTCTGTGCATCAATGTCAAAAAAAAAAGCCGCAACGGAGCTGGAGAGATCAGCAGAAACAGTTGGGGATGGAACTCAACTATATTTCACACCGGTTTAACAAAATTCCACACGCTGATGCGATTACAGTGATCCGATTGCAAGAGAGCACGGGAAATTGAATGATATGGAATATTTCAAAGGACATGTGTTTGATGTCATGTGTGAGATGAGAGTTGACATCAGTACCAGATATCCATGCACCGGAATTTTACTACACCTGTGAACCACTGAACTTTTGAACTTACCTGGAACAGAATTTTCGAAGAATACTCTCACAATTTCATATGTGGCAAAGAAAAGCCAAACCAGTCACTCCTCGCAAAAATCAATTTTTAGTTATTAATACAGGGTTGAACAGTAAAATGTGAGCTATAAAATGGTAAAGAATCATTTAAATCCAACATTTTGTTTTGATGTTACAGGAGTTTAAACATACAGCTGTTTAAAGATCAATATATGAGAAATCAGCCTTCAAAGTTCACGATTTCTGGCATTTCTCAGGCAGAAACCATCACCAAATCGTTACAAATTTTTGTTTTAACATTGAAAATGTGGAAAATAACAACATAGCATGATGTATATAATGGTTAATTTTGTGCAATAAAATAGATTTAAACAATTTTGAAATTAGAGCATGTTTTGGCCATTATCTCTGAAACATGATTTGCGACGAGTGACTGGTTTGGCTTGTCCTTGCCACATATGTAAAACATACTACAATTGGTATCAAAATAGAGCATAGCCTTTTTCACAGGGACAATTTACGACGGTCGTACCACTGTTTGTCGATAAATCATCTCCGCTCTCGGTAAGCGAGTGATGAAGCAAAGCTATCTACTGATTGTTGAGAACAGACCGAGCAGATTGTCATTAAAAACGAATTGTTGCACTCACCTCATCCTCTAGCGTACAGTAGGGGGTTTGGACCAACCCCCTCTGTGTGAAAAAACGTAATAAAATACTACTAGGTCCTGGCTTACAAAAGTCATGCTAACCTACCTAGGCATAGGTTGACAGATCAGAAAAACTAGGCTTAGTCCAACTAGCCTTCAATTAAATAAAATTATACACACTATTTTTGGTTTGATGTCGTAATAATTTACTTACAAAAAGTACGTTCTTCAGGCCTGTCGGTTCATCGATCTATGGACGGAAGACTACGTATCCAACTACTCAATATTGTTGGAATATAATAATATACTGCCTATGTCTTTGAACCCCCTCTTTCAAATCCTGGATCCGCCCCTGGTGTATCTATGGGATCACGTTGGTTGACGACCGATAGTACACTATGTGAACGACATAATACATTTTCTTTCTCTTTTCCTATCAAAGCTTGGGGGGTTATTCCCAAGTAAAGTGGACGCTCCCAACTGGTGAATATAAATATTTTGCAACGTATTTCTTCTTGCCAAGAGTTGACTTGTGATAATAAGGTGATAATAAAAAAAAAGAAACAAATGTTTACTTGCCTTAAAGACAAAGGCTTGGGATTGATTGTTTGTGGTGAGCATAATAAAGTACTGTATAATTGTATTATTACTGCCACTAGGCCAAAACCACAACAAATATTGACCTCTGAACAGGGCACAGAAAGTAGATCACCCTGTCTGTAATTACACCTGATCAGCTGATGTCCATCACCACTTTCAGCTTCTGGATATTACCTCTACCTTCCCACAAACAACATACATGTTTTATACATTACCTGAACAAAATGAGAAGGAGGACACATGTTCCTGGTTTCCTCAGCTAAATATCACTTAATCCTATACTAATCGCGGGGTAATCCCCAGGTAATTCACTCTATCTTCTTCCAAATCCACCCCTTGCCTTTGTCTCTTACCCTTTGACGTAAATATCACTCATCCGTTCGCCAGTTATTGAGGTCTCATCTAACTTGACGTCTTTCGTATTCCAGATGACGCAGCGAATTTCATACCTGCCAATCAAATAACAAAAATTGATAATCAATATGTGAATTATCAAGAGTGAGATTAGATGCCATATACTGCACATCATGATTCTTAATCATATTTTACATATCATTTCTATTTCTAATTCCATATTTTTTCCATAATCATAATAAAACAAATTTCAATTAAACTTCAATTAACAATTGTTCAGAAGCCTTTGATTTTTTTTTACATTTTTTGCCCTGATATTTTAATTACCTATCTTTTATCTTTCTAAAAAAATGTTATTGAATTTCCTAATGTTGATAATTTTTAAATTATAATGTGATCCATCAGTGAAATCAGTACTGCATCACTGAAATTGCCATCACTCCAAAATCATATTATGTTAACAAATATAGTAATTAAAATCTTTTGAAAACCTTAAATTTTTATATTTTACATTCCCTCTCTTTACCCTGACATTTCATTCATCTACCTTTCACCTTGATACTGATATTTTTAAATTATAATGTGATTCACCAGCTAATTCAGTGCTGCATCGCTGAAGCTGCCATTACAGAATAAAGCTACTTCTCTCCCACAGGGCTCAGCCATGCTTTTATTTAATAACGCTCATTATGAGGTTAAAGAAAGTGGAGTTATTTTCAGTCTTAAGAAAAACCCACAAGAGGTTACAGACTAGAGATATAAATAGAAAGGAGGAAAAAGGTTAAGAGAGGATTTTAAATTTCCCTTTTTTTTTTAGTTAGAAGAAAACAACAAAGTTGGAAAGTATGTTCATTCAGAAAAAGACACTGTCTAAACTGAAAATATATATATTTTCTGATATTGCCATTTTATATATTGCCATTAAAAAATTAACAGGTGAGCAGAGTGAGCAAATAAATAGAATTTGAAGTACATTACTTACGATTTCGGCTTTCGAACCTGAATGTCGAAAGGAGTGTGCGGGAAGCCAATATCAAGAGGGAAAATATCAATCCACATTTGGAGTTTACCCTGTTCAATGTTCGGTAGCAGAGGACTGTATAGAGGGCGGGTTTCAATGTGCTCTTGGACTAATGGCAACATGCGGAGTGCATATAATGCCAAGCGCTCTTCTGGTGGTCCTTCATGTTCATTGTGGATCTTGTTTGCCTCTAAAGAAGTTACAAAAAAGGTGAACAAAAGTAATAATAGTAGTAATAACAACAAAAAAATAAACAAATAATGATGTAATAATAAAAAGAGAAACAAAAATAATAATTTACACCAAAATATATAATATTAATAATCAAAGTAAAAGAATAGTAGGAGAAAATAATAGTAGCATAATAATAATAATAAATAACATTATTTAATAATTATAACAATAATATTAATGGTAACAACTTTTCAATTACTTTTTATTGTAACCATAACATCATTTTGTAATATATAATTTGTTTGTGTATGCGTGAGCTTTAGAAAAAGAAATTGATTTGTATCCATTTAAATCCCAATAAGAAGTATCGGGTTTCTTGGGTAAATCCAGAGTAAATATTCAGCTGCATTGACCTCAAATTGACCGTCTGCAATAACTTCAACGGATGACCAGACAGTACACACTCTTAAAGCCTGGATTTAATCGGTCAAATATCCCTCTTGAGCCTGATTGACCGACTTGTGGTCATAGGCTTCACCGCCTATCGGTGACATACACAGCGTATGGAAATAACACGATGGATTTTGTTCTGGGCTTAATAGGAAAACCTTATTAATAAGTCTTTAATCAAGCAAGGTTATATTTATTAAGCCGCGAGTACACTAAATACTGTTAAAGAACTCTGAAACCTAGGTATTTATTGTTGACTAATTAGTCATAGCTTTCCATGTGGGTTTTAATCCATACCATGGCCCATTTATTAACCCAAAATACCCAGAAATCGTGTGCCAGACAAGATGTGCTTTATTGGGGAAAGGACATTGTAGAATTGAATGGTCACGTATTAGAGCGATGACCCACCTATGATTGACCCTATTCCTCAGACAGTGTTAATGATCAGCTTAGAATTATCGACAGCGCAAATCTCACATGTACGTCAATAGTTAAAATTGATTGCAGAATTTGTAACGAGGTCAATATAATATTTCACAACTGTAAACACCTTATGTGCAATGACAGATTTGGTGCAATTGAAATATTTAGCATTATGAAATAAATCATCTTACTGGATTATATACATTTAAAATACCTTTAGTATTAATAATACAAAATACATCTCAATTTAGAACTCAAAGGTATATAATAAGAAAGGGTTTATTACTTTATCATTCATATACTTATTCTTATAATGTGGTAGATATTAGTTGATTTACTTTTATAATAAAATTTTTTTTACTTTTTCTAATTTTTGACCGGGCAAATAATTCTATGGACAATTCTGAAAATATAAAGATAAAAAAACAAGCTAACTCATCTGTCTGATTTACTTACCGAAGTCTTGAAGGTTGTACATTTTTCCGTCAAAGCAAAGCTTTGTAGCGCCGTAGTAGACCGGGTCGGGCAGAGAATTCTTTTTGCAATACTGCTGCAGAATCTGGGTTGGTGTTACTGCATCTCTCCAGACATTTGGACCAGTCCTTGATTTGGGGGGGGGGGGGGGGGAGAGGGAAAAAGAAAGTTCCGTATTTTATAATTTATACTATGCTATGGTATCATATGGAACACTTTACAGTATCATTCTAAATTTACAGTATACTCAAAAAATGTTAATTCTTATTGTATTAAACTACTTAATATTAACTCACGTGTTGTAAGTAGCTTGCAGACCGCATGTTGCACGGTATTTAGAAAGGAAACGATTTTCAAGATCAATGATGGTTTCGCCAATAATGTCATCGCTACTCAAAAAATCGTAGTCCATCACACCAATCTTTAGATCTTTTACAACAGGAATGGAAGCCTTAATTTCAAACATTCTAAAATAATACAAAATAAAACCAATAACTATTTCAAAAGATGCTGCTGGTAGGTAAACTTTTACGGTAAAAGTAATTGTGCTACAGCTGCAATTTTGTTTTGTTTTGTTTTGTTTAATCATTGTATGTATAGATGATGGATAGATGGATGTTTGACAAAATGAATGATGAATGAATGAATGGGTGGATGGATTAAACGATTAAATGAAATGCATAGTTAAACAGGTGAAAGAATGGATCGATGAAAGAATGACACATGAATGAATAGATACTGTAGATGAATAAGAGTAGCTAGCTTAGTTGGTTAGACTGGTGGTAGCCACTGTGTGTGCGCTGAACCGTGGAGATCTCTCAGTCCCCTGTTCAATTCCCATCGCTGCTCTCCTTGCGTTTCAGGGCTGAAATTCAAGTTCCAAAAGCGCACCGTCTTTCGGATGAGACATGTCAGCCGTTGGTCCTGTGTGCAAAATGTCCCATGTGCACATTAAAGAATGCAGTACACTCTTCGGGAAAACAATAGGGGATTGTCTCCCAGTGTACTGCTCAATTCACCACCAGAAGGACCCCACTGGAAATAAGTCTCAGGACTTTGGTGAGCTATCCTTGGTGTGTATAACACATCCAATTTAATTAATTTATAGATGAGTATATGGATGAGTAAATAATCAATGTACAAATGAATGAATAAGTACAAAAAATGAATAAATAGGTGGATGTGTGAATGTATACATACAGATAAATGAATTGATAGTTAAAAAAAAATGATCAATTACACCTTACCTTCCAAACATTGGATTCAGTGTGTTGGGAAGGTATGCATCATTTTCCTTAATCTTTGTTTTTCCAAGGGAAATTTTTAAGTAGGGATCAGCCTAGGGGTGAAGAAAACTTTTATTAAACTATATCCACTTTGTATTTCAAACTGATGAACTGTTAAATTTCATTTCATTAATTTCACTATTCATTCACTTTAATATGTATTTAAAAGAATGCAATTGGAAGGCAAGCACACAAACCACCAACCACTCCATGCTGAGCTGTGAAGCTGCAGTAGACTTATTACAATATTTGTTCAATAGGATAAAACAATTGAGTCTGGCAGTGATGGTGTACTGGTATACTTACCAATCCTGATGGATCCTGAGGTTGAAGGTCGATGGCTCGAATGATGTACACACGAACGATGCATTCGCACGGTGCACTACTCGGCAGGCTTTTAAACTGCTTCGGTGGTAAGGGTGCCTTAAGATCCGGGGCCAATGGGTAAACACGGAATAGACCCTAAATATTCACAAAAAAACAGAACACGTCTTGATAAAATTTGTGGCAGTTGTGAAAATATATTAACGTTTATTCATTTTTTCTAATACCATATAATATAATACTCAAAAATTAATTTGTTAATGCATATTTCTTTCTATACGGCTTGATAAAATTATATTTGTGACTCATTTTTACCTTTCCCAGCTTGAATGAATTAATTGTAGAATATAAATGAGTCACACTGGTATTTACCTTGAATTCCCCTACTCCACTAAATTCTTCATCTTCCTTGTTCTTGCCACGTTGAAGTTCGTATGTGTTACAAAAATCAGAGAAACTGTTGTATGGTTCAACCTTTTCAAGTGGGCAGTCAAATATCTGAAAAAATTATGAATTTACAGCATCAGTATCATGATACTAATTCATTTATTAAATTTCAATTATGTTTTATATATATGTAATTCCAACCAACATTAATATATATATTTATTTAATTGACTTACTGAGAATAGTACTTAGCTCCTGATTTGAACCCAGGACCTTGAGGTTAAAAGACCACTCTACCATCAAATTATATCCCAATTACATGCAATAATTGCCACATGATGGTTTTATTATTATGCAATTAACATCTCGAAGAGATTTGATTGACAGATAAACCGACTAATCAGCGAGCGTCATTCAGTCATGTGATCAAAAACTCGTTCTCGGACATTTTAATTTCCTTAGACAGCTGGTTTAAACGCGAAACATACGTGAGCCTAGGCCTAGATGTCTATTTTGCTTGGTGATAGATACCCAGATTTACACGAGCAGTGCGCATCAGTTACTTGGCCTTTGCCGACAACAAGGTTGACTGAATGCAGCTTTTCCCTCTTCCTTTGAGAGCGAAATACAGAGGCTTTTACAACAATTTCCCCGCCATGTTCCATGAAATAGATTAACACTATGAATATATGATTCATTTGCATACCACCTACCCTGAATTCTCTTTCTTAAAGAAGGTTGATAGCAAAGAAAATCTTCGCCAACTTGTTAAGTCTAGCCGCCATTGTCTAAGGTTTTCGTGACTTTGTGGGCGGGGCTTCGCGTCCTTGTCAACATGTCAATTACAACTCATGTATATTTTTCATATAATAGAAATGTATTCAACAAAACATTACCTTGACTACAAATTCAATTTACTCAACAAGCCCTTAAGAGGGCGACAAACAGAAATGTGTCATTAGTTGTCAATAAAACAACAAAATAACATGCATTCAAGAATATAATACAAGATATTTGATATAAAAAGAGACAAAATAAGGTCTTACCTTTATTGTGTCATATCCCTTTTCTAAGTAGGAACCGCATTTCTCTTTGTCTCCAATTGATCCATAGTACTTCGACCACCAATCAATCTCTTCCTCTAATACATCCTATGGAATAACAAATGAATTTTAATAATCTTTCTGATGGATAATTTGATTGGATAATGGATTATTTTTGTTAATTATATCTTTTAAAGTGAACTTTATTCTTGCTTTTTTATAATGTTTAATGATTCTAAATTTTAAAAAGAAGAGACCATTGACAGTATTCATATTGCAGTTCAGCAGAAAACAATTTCTATTGCACATTTTTAATGTTTTAATGCTTACATAAATGTAGTAAAGAGAAAATTTTTTTTTTCTTGCAACAAAATAAGGCAAAATTTAGAATGGAATAAATCACTTGTAATACAAAGTTGTTATGATCTGAGTTGAAAGTTATTTATTAAAGCAAGTATTTATACACTAATGATTAAAATGTTAACATAGATGAGAGCATAAAAAGAGAAGATATTTCATTATCTTAATTTAAGGAATGTATGTAAAGATCAATCGGCAAGCTTAGATTATATTTCACTAATTGTTTAAAGAAGAAACGCACATCAAAATCAAATAAAGTACTCAAGTCTACAACAACAGAGAAGAGTTAGATCACTTAAAGCCACTCATTTCCTTGGGACTATATCATCACTTGAAATACGGATAACGTTCCACGAGACAGTGATGTGCTCCTCCCTAGAAACCAGGTAACGCAAGTGTCTTATGTCTTGGAGTGGTTGCTGCACTCCCCCCCCCCTCCCATAAGGTTGGTATACAAGTTAGCTCCCCGGGGTTGAAGGTGTCTTTAAATACAAGGTCTATAAATCTTAATGGGGGATTTTTTATTGTCATAAATGGCAATCTGCATTTTTTCAGTCTTATAGTTTTCATTCCTAAATGCAAAATCATATCCTCTTCAGGGATATATATCCAGTACTGTATATTAAAAAAAATATAGGGTGCAAGAGACACAACCAATGGGACAGAAATCCAATTTAGAATTACTTTTCATAATTAGATGAGAAAATTGGTAGTTAAAATGAAGCAGACAACAGGCCGCACTTTATAAATTGGCACTTCTCTTTCTATTTCTTGAGAATATCAGATCAAACCTTTAACTCAAATCGCGAAGCTAAAAAATAAGCAGTATGATAAAATGATCTAATAAAAATAGAAATAATAATATACCGCAGATCTGTAAATTTTCATTTATATAAGAAATAAACAGCAATTTTTCTACACTATATGCTAGTTATAATGGCATTTTCCATGTGACAAGACAGCTGTTTGCTTTAATAGGCACTATAGAAATGTGTTACATTATTATTATTATTATTTTATTGTCATCATTATTAATTTTATTATTATTATTACTATTATTATTATTACTATTATTATTATTAATAAAATTATTACTATTATTAATTTGTAAAATTGAAATAGAAATTATAAATTGTTATATATGAGTTTATTACATAACTATGTAATAAGCATTCATCACCCTCATCAGCATTGTCATTCTCATGAATATAACAATCATTTTCATAACATTATCACAATCACCATCTCATTCCTATCTTTCACCATCATCTTCATTGTCACCATCATTATCATTATTCTCAACATGGTTTAACCATCATCATCGGAATAATGTCTTAAACCTTCACCATTGTCATAACCATTACTATTTCAATAAAGCAAACTAGAAAGATAATATAAAAAATAATTACAAAAAAAACTAAATACAAAAACACTAAACTGCCATAATGTTTGGTGATAAAAATTAAAACAGTTATTGACTGATTAGTTATAAGCTGCTACAGCTAGGTGAAATAAATTTAGTACCTGTTCAGATAATACTTCCTTGCCCTGTATCGAAAAAAAATGTGTACCTTAACTAGTTATACAATAAACTTTCTATAAATTTATTTTCACATATTTTTTATACACTATTTCATCATTCAACAAAGCTCATGTTCATAAATTGTGGTGTTTCTGTAATTAAAAAAAAAGGGGGGGGGGGTCATAAAATTATGCTAGGAGTAAAAGTGTTACAGAATTTGAAACTACCAACTTTAGAGTACAAGAAAGCATCTTAATAGTTAACACAAGTTGAAGAAAACAAAAAATAAAAGCAAAATGATATCAAATTACCGGAGCAAGAAGGTGTTTACTCTTCTTGGGACCCTGTTGTATGTGATGCAGTAAAAATAAAGAGGGAAAAAGCTTACTATAAACGTCCTACAAAAGAATACACTATACCAAAACCAACCGCATAAAAACCCAAACAAAAAATACAAAACAAATACATAATAAAAAAGTTTAAAATAAAATACCACAACCAAAAGAAAGAAAGTAACATTTTCAACAATGGTCTGTCCACACTATGGAGTTTAAGTGACAAGTACCTGTGATTTGCAGATATATAGCTGTGATATGACATCATCTATGGGTCACTCACACATTTGTCACAAAAACTTGGAAGTATGGACAGAGCTTAAACATAGACCTCTATTTAAAGACATACCATCTGTCAATAGGGTTTGGCGGTAGTGTGTTAAGATATCAATTTCCATTGCTTTTCAGGCAAAAATGTTCCTTTAAAAAAGATGGTTCCCTTATAATAGGGGTGTCCAAATTGAGTGGTTCTACTAACTGTAGTTTTAAAAATTTGTAAAACCCAGAAAAATGCTGTGTTTTCCAAAAATCATCATTCCTGATGATGACATAATTAATGTCGAAATATTGAATCCCAACACGATGGCGTGTATTTCAATACTTGGAGTATGTATTATACTTTCTTATGCTGTGTTTTAATCTCTGTATTAAGATTGGAAGTGAATATTTGTTTATTTAGCTATTTATATTGAACTTACTGTGCATTTCCAGATTTTATAAGATGGTATATTTTCAAAAAACTTTCAATAAACTGTCTATATTTAAAATCAATACCATTAAAAAAATAAAACTGTACTGTAATTAACATCACATTTCTAATATAAAATCAATCACAAACTTCATACTGCTACAAATTCCAGTGACAAATTCAGTGACATGCATGCCAATGTGATTGGAAGAAAAAAAAGGAGGAGCATGGAAAAATTTGGAGATGAGATGAAGAGAGAAGTTCGGTGTAGGTTGTATGAATATCCCAACAGGTGATAAAGAAAGTGTGAGCAGGGCGTGGTGGGGTGGGGGAGAAGGATTGTTGGAAGGTTTTTGATGAGAAGCATTTATAATAGCAAATGAGTCACATTAAAGAGGTAAATACTAAAAGGAAGTTACTTCATATGGTCCCAGATGCTCTGCTGCTTGCAATTATTTTTGGTGGGGACAGAAAAGAGAAGTAGAAACGGACTTCAAAGCAACAGCCCACTACCCCACACGCCCAATAACCAATCAAAACCTCATTACCAACAGACAACAAATCAGCCCCATAAAAACAAATAAATCACTAAAATTCATGCAGGAAATTATATATAACAACACCATCTACAATCATGCCAAAGTGTAACACATTTAAAAATGTACCACATGATAAAACTCCATTCCTTCTTCCAAATATGGGCAAGACTGGGTACAAGGATTTTGGTTATTGTGATGGCGCTTCACCTTTGTATCTTTGTGTGCGATTCACATGCACAATTATTTCAGGTAAACTTACAACAGGACATTTCAGATAACAATTCGCAAGAAAAATTTGAAACATTCAACGTTAAGCAATCAAATAAAAACAGAAAATGATGAGAATCATAAATGTTAGCTACACTTAAATTTATTTATTTCTATTAGAGTAATAACTACAACTACATCTATACACACAGACATTCAAAGAGAAACCTTTGGCTTTAACATGTAATTATAGCAACACACCCGATTCACACAAGAAAAAAAAATATTTGTGTCTTGTCTTTATTCCAAGCAAGGAACCGTGAACATGCATGCTGACAGTGTACAGCTTGAAGCCACATTTACACTAGACATGATTAAGACATGCCAACGACATATCATTGCGTAGTTTGTATTCTTCAACACTGCGCGCATCTGTATCGTGTTGTTGTTGTGTCGTAATCATGTCTAGTGTAAATGTGGCTTAAGTCGGGCACACATTGTATGAAGTCTTAGGATGGAGCAATTCCATAGATAAAACGACATTTGTATGACACGGCGAGTGCCTAGCTTTATTTTCACGTTGTGTTTGTTGCCTATAACTTTACCACCTGCGTTTAAATCATACAAACTTCAGCAAGGTTTGTAGTAGCTCGTTAGAAGGTGAAGGTATATTGGTGTCTTAACAGTATCTCCGTAGGAATACATCAGAAAGTACGTGGAATATTTAGCAACAGACCCATGTAATATTTTATTACTGTAAATCGGGTATTATTGTTATAGTTACATGATTAAACCACATGCTGTCCTTAAGATCAAACAGATTTTCTAACTACTTTCGGTACTGTTATTTATAACATAATTCACTGTTCCAATTTAGTAATCTAATAAGTGTCACAATTTGTAAGAATGATATTAAATGATAACACAATAAAACTACAAATAAGAAATGTAAAGGAAATGCTTAAAAGTGAAGTGAAAAAAAATTAAGTATAAAGTATAGAAAAAAAAACCCCAATGTAGATAAATTAAATTAAAGTTATTAAATTCAACACTTGACTTAAGACGAAAAAATTTAGAAACGGATTTACAAAAAAAAAAACCAAATGTACATGTCCTTAATGAAATATAAAAATATAATAGTGCATTTAAAAAAGTAAAACTTCTGACTGAAACCCTGACCCTGAAACAATTTTTTTTTTGGTATTTTAGAGCAAGTCTATTAATAATTAAAAATTAACCAACCTAAGATTCATATACAAAGTACAAGTAAAAAACTATGTGCTTTTTATTTATAAAACTCAAAACAAATAGGATGTAGTAAAATACATACACTAAAGCACTATAGCTTTGTCATCTTCAAGAAAGTTTTCTACCTCCATCAGTATTCATTATGTCATCATTAGCGATAACGGTTTGAGTTCGCTTCCTCCTAGAACATTGTATTCTAAATGATAATGCCTCCTTGTAGTGGAGAGTTATCATATGATCTTTCATGGTGGGTTACACATACATATATATATATACATATATATATATCGAATGCTGGGTCTAAATCAGAAGTTTTACAGATGTGTTAAGGCTAAAAGCCCAAATAAAACTGCATTCACACCAAATCCGAATTTTTTATTGAACCGATCAAAAACTTAATCAGTGTTCAGCACACTGGAAACACTGTCAGAATTTTTGTCCAATGCAAATGTAAATCAACTGAATGGCAATTAACCGTTGTCTCTGACTTTACATGCTGGTACACTTTTCCCACTAGAAGTTGAAACGCTAGACGAAAGAGCTCCGTAAACGATAAGATCTGTCTACTACTACAGCTCAACCAAAAGTTTTAGAATGTGTTTAAACCTGATATAAGATCTATAGTAAGACAATAATGATAAACACCATAAAGAACAGATTTCACATAAATGTTAAAAGATTGAGAACTTTCTGAAACAGTACCATTCAGACCACGTACTCTGAACACCTAGAAGAACAGCAATGTATCATCCAAGAATTTCAATTAACAATATAAGTTTAATGAGTTAATCAAACATTAGAAATCCCAGGAGTGTAGTAAAAAGTGTAACAAAAATAAAGTGACCACTAACATTCACCCCTAGAGATTCTTACGGTAACAAACCTTCATTAGCTTTAATTGTTTTTTTCCAAATGCTACTAAATTAAACTGTGATTATCACAAGAGGAAAACAAAAAGATTAGGTAATTATGCAAATTAGGTTTTGAACTACTGTATGAACATTAGGAAAATGGCTCATGGGAATGAAATAAATCTAGTTATGCTACTGTTTAATTTTTTAAAAATCAATAACATTTTTATCATTTATCTAAAAAAAAACCTAAATATACAATAAAATAAAAATCTTCATTTAGATGAAATATTTTTCTTTTTTAATTTTACCTTCTTTTTCTTTTCACCAGATGACGCTATACTGACTTTGTCGTCTGGTACTTCTTCAGTCATCTCAATCACATGATCAGTTTCCTTGGCGCTCACTTCACTGCCGGGTGTTCCGACAGTAGCGGGCTGCTGACCTGGGGGCACAGCAACGGGAATCTCATCTGAAAACAAGGACGACAACACATCAATTATATTTAAAAATTGTATCTCAAGATTTCATTACACAATACTAGAAACGAATACAATATCTTCAATACTTCCCCCACTCAAATGCTTTAGAAATTGATATTATCACACAAAATTATTAAAGAATTAAGATTCGAAAACATTAGGCCAGCAATAATGGTAATGTAAAACAAGTGGTTGAATAATTAAGCTGCGAAAGAAAAAAGAAAATAAATAAAATGAAAATTTTAGAACTATATAGATGGTATTTAAAGATACCACATTTTGTTAATAGGAGTTTGAATGCTGCACATGGATGTGATTATGTTTATTAGCAAAAGGAAATGCTACAACATGTAAAATAATTCAGTAACACAGCAACAGGGATCTGTTTTGGATTTGTTGACAGATCTTTCTTAAATAACTCATATATTGAAATAACTAATAATATAATAAACAACAAATCATTCCATAAAACAATGCATGCTATATGCCCACAACATTCCATGACAGAGACAGATTATATATATACACATATCTAGTTTAAATTTTGAGCAACCACTTAATGAATATATATACATTTTTCCTCCCATCTTATTAACCAAAAGGTCCACTGATTAATCTCAGTTAAGATAGTATAATACATACTCCAAGTATCGAAATGCACGCCATTGTGTCGAGATTCAATATTTCAACATAAATTATGTCATCATTAGGAATGATCATCATTCCTGATGATGACAAATCCCGACACGACGGCGTGCATTTCAATACTTGGAGTATGTATTATACTATCTTATTAACCAATCATGCAATATCTACAAAGATCTAAATAAATTAAAAATTATTGTGAACCTTTGCAACATATCTGCTGTCATTCTCATTACCAAATTTAATGTTCTGTTCACAATATCCCATTTTATGAGACAAGTATCTGTGGTCCATGCATGAGCTTGATGATGTCATCAAACTCATATGTTTATAAATCATAGACATTTTGTCCACATATAATCTGATAGTGTAGAAAGAGCCTTATGGTGTTAAGCTTGGCATACACTATCATATTTTTGTTCATCAGAGTTCAAATGTTTGATCACTGACAAGTACAGCACTTTCTACAACAGTCACCTTGTGTGAGAGACTGTTCTGCTTAGCCCCACTCAAACATGCAAAGTCTGACAAACAAAGTCTGATTGTGTATGTCTATCATGTGCCACTGTATAAAAAAGGCAAGTTAAAAAAACTTATTAATCTAAGCTGCAATATGCCACAAAAATCTTAGTCATGCTTTTTACAAGCTAAGAACATTAAGCTTATGTCTGCTGAATTCCAAAGCTGACCACATTTTTCAAACTCCACTGTAATTTGTATAATATAATTATACAAATGCCAATATAATTATGATTATTTGTATTAAAATAATTACGCAATTCTTATGTGAATATACAATACACCTACAATAGCAGCCACTGCTTCTGCATTTCAAGGCCTTCTCTAAGCTTTCGAAACATACCTTGTGTTTACAAACCAATAAAAAGAGTGGCAGAAAAGTTATTTTCATGTCATTCATATAGTTTGATTAGGGAGACAATGTGCAGAGTACACAACAAATAAGCAGGCAATAACCACAGAAGTAAACTGTTGACAATAATTATATTTATAAATATATTTACCTTTAATATTTAAACATGTCATAATCTCTCCAAAGGACATGTAAAGACATTATGCATAAAACAACAATAAACATTTATAAACAACAAAGAGAAAGTTGAATCATACAGTTCATATAGAGCATTAAATTAAGAGAAGATTGTATATAAATCCCATACATAATTACGTAATCTATATATATTTTCTGATAACCCTGAGAAAGTTCACATAGAGCAAGTAGAGAAATTATGAACAATACATTCAAAGTCTTGTGTATTATGTGCAAAGGGGCTGGTATTGCCTGGTGAACATACCCATTCCTAGGGTCGACGTCTAAACTTATATCTAAAAACCACCACAGACTAGAGACAACCACTACTGTCTACCCATAATGGCAATCTTGGAAATTAAATTTATAAAAAATAAATAATTACAAAATAAAAACTACAGCCTATTTAAAAACTATTTCTAACGTAACATAACAAAATATTCTAATTTTGCAAAGGGGCTGGTATTGCCTGGTTTAACATACCTATAGGGTCGACATCTAAACTTATTTCTAAAAACCACCACAGACTAGAGACAACCACTACTGTCTACTGCTACCCATAATGACAATCTTGGAAATTACATTTATAAAAAATAAATAATTAACAAAAAACTACAGCCTATTCAAAAACTATTTCTAACATAACAGAATATTCTAATTTTGCTAATCAGAAAAAACACATTGTGGAACATTTTGACCTATTTTAATAGCATTGAGATTTTTAAAAGAAAATTCCTCCTAATATACATTATATTATGGTTTAATAGTTATAACAATAATAATAATAATAATAATAATAATAATGATGAGACACAGATGAACATTTCAAATGAGGAAGATGTGACAGCTTAGAAATTATGAATATATTAACACCATGCACAAACAGTAATCATTTTAAGAAGTCAAATGAAATGATCATAATTATGATAATGAAAAACCAATTAAATTTAAATGGAAAAATTGTAAAGATCGAATGAGTGCAGGAACTATGTATGAACGAAGGTGAAGCCTGAGGGCGCTAGTCAAGAGCCCAAAATCTCTAACCTGTTGAACTTTTTTTTCGTTGCATTCGCTCAATTCCTTTCCCTAACAGCTCTTCGGCATGAAAAGCTAATGCTTGCATTTCCGGATCTTCATAAAATGAAAATAATTAAAATGATACGGAAATAAAAATAAAATAAAAAACACTCACTGGTTGCAGTTAGTAAATTGTAGTTTAACAATTTCATCTTAAAAAAACAAAAGATTTAAATCAAAATATATAAAAAAAAAAGCTGCAACCTTAATTGTTTCAACCATTACCAACATTCGTTGTTAAACCATTTTTGTGCTTGTATGTTAATAGTTTTAGAACAACAACATTTTCTACACATAGTATGTATACTTTTATAATCAATTGTATTCAGTGACAAGTGATACTAATAAAGATATTAGGACTCTGAATTTTAAATTGCTTTCAATTCATACTAAATTAAAAGTTTATTATTATTATTATTTGTATCACTTTATTAGTTATTAAAATGAAATGTTTACAAAGATCTAGCTAATGGCACACTGAAAACTCCCAAAAAGTGAGCAATATTTTACATTATGTGAAAGAAACTTGAGAAAAAAGAGTTACTTGTTTTTTAAAATATTAATGGCTAAAAGCTTTTAGAATAATTTTTTTTACAGTATAGACACATTTCATTATAAAAAAAATCTCATTGATAGCAAAATTTAAATCTTTATTAAATATTATCTCGATTTACATTAAATACTGTCAGATTATAAATAATTAAGTGCATACATTGAACCTCTGTTGACCTCTACCAAGTAAATGTATCATGCTGTTTGACCCCTTTGCTAAAAATGTGGTGTACACACATGAATGCTGAATTTATTATATGAATACATATCAATAAATAAATTTTAATTCTTATTAAAACAGATTTAAATAAGGTACAAATAAGATTTTGTAAGTATAATATTAAATAAAATAATTACAACCCATCACAATTAAAATAGTATCTTTATATAACCACACAATGGCCCATACCTAAACTGTGTAGTATACATCCCTTACCCCTTAATAACTGCTTTTCCCCAGGGCATGCATCCGTCTTTGTGCTTGGTTGTACTTACGGCGCAGTATAAATCCCGGCCATTTGGATTTAGTTTTTTTGTTCCGATATTTAAGTTTGATCCCTACGTCAACATGCAAGCCATGATAAATGTTAAGGGAGGATGAGCAACATGTAAAGGCCAACTCAGACAGCGTCGTAAGACGTAGCCCAACGTGATTCATCGTCAGGGACAGTCTTAAGCCGCCGTGAGAAATATTAAACACGTTTTAATATTTTACGACGCGACTGCCCCCAACGCAAACCATCGCGTCTGCGTTTAACTCACACAGACCCAACACGACAACAAATCATGTTGGGCTGCGTCATACGACGCTGTCCGAGTTGGCCTTAAAAGTCTCTAGCATTACGATGACATGCACAACATGTTACAAACACATAGTTTCTAATGAATACTTGAACCAAACACTTGTAATGCCCATATTTTAAATTTTCTGGCATTCATTTGAATATTCAAATCTCATTTATTTAATTATGCAAATTCAATGATATTATTAGCTTTGTGGGACTTGTACTTGACAATATCGAGAGCTGAAAGCCAGAAAATCAATGATAGGATACTTTTTGAATGAAAATGAGTATGAAAACTTTACAAGACTCGTATATCATATGATATTAATACATAATGGAAGCTTCAGTAACATGCAATGAAATGAATAACATCACAGACTATACAGAACTACAGAGGGCCTCCTAAAAAAAACTACATTAAAAATTTAAAGATTCATGTAGTGTTCTTTTTTAATATAGGAAAAAATTAAAAATTGAAAACAAAAATCCCTCAGTATTACAGTAAAAATATTTATGCTTTTGTATGGCATCTTACAATAAGTGTTAACTAATATTTGCAATGCTAATCAGTTTTACTAAAAGCTATCTAACATCTTGAAGCCTGGATCTCAAGTGTTCAAATGCCTGCTATCCATTGACTGGCTGAGATGTAGAACATGACCTATAAACTAAACATAGACTTTAGAACATAATACTGTATGAAATGATTACGACAGGACCATGTGGAAAACATCACTAAGAGCTGAGTAAATGAATGTTACATAATCAATTTGAGTTTTAAAGACAAACCTGGATTTTCCGGCAACTCTATAATGTCAGCCTGCTGCGTCGGATCGCATCTGTATTCCTGTAGAGACTTGATGATGTGAATGCCAACGATTGGTTTGCGACCGAATGCACGATGATCACGGATTTTGAGATTCATTGGAGGTGTGTACAGTTCCTCCTTTGGCAACATCTGATAAAATAGATTTATAACCAACACATTACAAAACAGGGTTTTGTTTCTTTATAAAGAGTAAAATATGATACCATAGCAAAAGTCTATAAATTAATTTAAATAAATCGAACTAAAGCTCATAATAAGCACCAAAAACAACCCATATTAAGAGCTGTAAGACCACATACTTTTAAGCAATTTGTTTTGAGAGTCAAGTACACATTAAAATCAGGATTAGGAATTATACATTGGGAACCTGTCTGTGCATTATGGGTATTTACTTACCACTTCCATGAACAACAGTGGTGAGTCAAAGTTGGGGTTCTTATTTGTGTTCTTGATGATCTTTGACTCGATGATCTTTCCTCCGACCTCAAACTCTATGCTTGGTGATGTGACTGATGCTAACTGGAACTTCTTCATGTTACGCACACCCCATGAGAGAATTTCTACACCAGTACGTTGCATGACTGGTCGAATACCATTTGGCACCAAATACAGTTGCCCTCGCATCGGTGGCATGAAAGGAAGATCTGTGTTGTCGGCCTAAATCACAGGAATAAAGATATCATAAACCAACGAATAGCAAAAACACAATTAAGTCTGAAATAAATGTTTTGTTAGATGCCAATAAATTTGATAAACTCTGCATTTATTTTTCCTGTGCTGTTTTGTTTTTTGATTCTTTGAAATATCATCTTTCAGTCCTAGCACACTCCCATGCATGTGTTATTCTTTTTCTATTTTAAACCACTTGTTTAATATGTTTCCTTTTTTACTCTCCTTCACAAATTATCTATTTTTTTCACTTACCAAGAAAAGTTCAAAGGATACAAGGAGTTCACCAGCTTGGTCATCACCTTTGTACAACGGCAACCAATATAACTTAGCAACGCGAGGATCAGAGCCTTCCAGCTTCACCAATGGTTTTGTCACGGCACGTCCAAGGAATTCCGGACTTCCCTACAATGTTAACAAAATAGAGTCATACATTATCAATGGTTCTGTTTGTTTTAAAATATAATTGTGATGACTATATTTGGCAGTGATATTATCAGATGGTTTTCACCAACACCAGACAAGCATTGAGATAGAACCCACAGGGAAGAAGAAAAACCAAGTCACTCAAGAAAGAGCTGAAGGAGGACTGTGGAGGATGAGGCATGTAGGGCAGGGAACTCTCTGGACCAACTCTAGAAAGGATAGCCCAAAACAGAGTGCAATGGCATGCTATTTCCAAGGACCTATACTCCACAAGGAGTTGAAGGGAATAAATAATATATGGCAGTCCAGCATATGGATATGGAAGTGGTATGCACCTTGACCTGCGACACTCCTTCTGACATCACAGCTAATCGCCCTTTAGCCAGAGAGGACCAGTAAACCTGACAACGGTTCCTGAAATACTGTCACTTTAATAAAACAATTATTCTGGTAAAAACAACTGTATTTTAATTTTAAGTATCACTTACAAATGTGTCATAGTCGAAGACCTCAACAACTATAACTGGAGGGTTTGCAGCAATCATCTCTGGACTGCCATAGAGATCTAGCTCCTCAAAGATGAGGGTTTGGTCCCAGGTAGGGCACAGTGTTGACTTGATGACCTCTGTTTTCTGACTGCGAGATGAGAATGCCACATAACAATATGGATCTGAGGGAAAATTTATAAATATTCTGTATTATTAATAATAAGCTCTAATGAATTTGAGAATCATAATGTACGATGCATAAATATATGCTAATGTGATACATCAAGCAAAATAATATGTAAGCGTGGACTAGGTTATAGTTGATATTGTATTAAATCACTCCTTTTACTAAAAGCATGATTTACATACAATCGCTACATGCTATCACTGATAGCTTTTGGTGATACTAAGTGGTTGGTCAAATCGGGGCACCTTCCCGATTGTATTGGGAACTGCTACGCAGTATGATTGCACTTAATACACTGTAGACTTTACCCATTTATTACTTTTGAGTAATCTTCATGCAAAATAGATAACGTAAGCCTTACTGTAGGTCCTAGGCTGAACTTTCTGTGAAGTCTAGCCATCACAAAATCAGCCTACAGTGTGTTTGGAAGGTGGGAGAAGGAAAGGAAAGGGTGATACAGCATTTCTTACCTGAAAAGCTGTCACTATCTGACGCAACCAAATCTCTTGCTTGGTAGACATAAGCTCGCAACTGGTATTTGTAATTCTCTGGCAAATACACAAATTTTATATGTTAGAATTCAATTTTAAATAACCTAAATCTAATTTGTGATAATTTAAAGTTTATATATCGTTTCCAATAATAGGAATCAAAGAGTAAGTGTTGCACACTAAAATATTTGCAACATTTGGCCAACAAAAATTTGCCTTTTTTAAACCAAACTGACCAAATATCTTGAAATCTAGGGTCACCATTTTTTTTGCAAAAACAATTTTTTTTTACTGAGAAGCCAAAAATAGTTTCAAGGCCTATTTTGAAGCTATCTGAAATATATACATGATACCTTAATCATTAATATTAACTTATTGGTTATCATTATTATAAAGTTGTCATGTCCAGCAGTTATCTATAGGATTTAACTTGTAATAATAAATTGAATGTCAAATTACTTTCAAAAGTTAGGAACATTCTTGGAGCTGAAAGTCGTTTCTCCTCTTCTTTATCTTTATCCTTCTTGCTTTTCTTCTCATCGTCATCCTTAGAGAAAGTAAAATCTCTTCATTAGCAAACCTAACTACAAATTCATTTCGTTATTACAAAAACCAGCCCGACTCTATAATTTTTTTCAAGATTCCATTTATTGTCATATACAAGATATTTGCTTTCCAGAGCTAGGAATACACAAAAATATGCATACAGATTAAATTACAGGACAACAATAAATATAAAATTCTACAGTGCAAAATATATTAAAATTACAGTTCAATTAAAATATACAATATATGCAGTACAGTGACAGAAGACCAAAACAAGTTGCATACAGTAGACGTAAATGAGTAGAATTGTTATTGACGTGAGAGATGAGATGAGACTATCTGGTGAACACTTTGTTAAATAGGTGACAGGCATAAGGCAAAAATGAGTTTTTATACGTTTTTTTTTTTTACATTAGATTGGTAAATCCTACCTGATCTATTAAAATGAATATACTTATTTAGTGGATGAGTATTGTCAGTAATAATTGAACCCATTTTTTAAGCACACTTCTGTCACAAAGATAATTTATACTCTCAGCATCTCTGCCAATGATTTTCCTACTGCTTTAGCTATTTTCGTTATTTGATCATTATTTTTCTTCACTTGGCAACCAGGCAATAGAGCAAAATCATAAAATAGATTTGATGACACCCTGATAGAAAAACAAAGTGTATCCTGACCAACATTAAATTTGTTAAGCTTCCTAAAGGAAGAAAAGTTGTTGACTAGTTTTTGAGTACACAGATTGAGTATGTTTACTCCAACTCCAATTAGGATTAGCATCAATGATAATACCAAAGTATTTATGTTCTGATGTTCTTTCAACAACTGAGCCATTAACACTAAGTGGATAAACTACAGTTGAGTTACAGCCTGGTGCTTAGAATACTTGCTCTCAAATCCCATAATGCCACAGGTTCAAACCCTGTGTCATCTCAACTCACTTAACCTAGCAATAGTATACAGCATCATATTACTGCATATATTTAAGAGAGCATCTGAATATTAGGCTAATATTCTGATATGAGAGTCAATCACCCTTTATAAGTATGGTTTACATTATTTTTTTTAAAGGATACTTAAAATTTGAAATGTAACTTACTTTTTTAATTAGTATTATTAATTGTGCTTGTACAGTGCATACAGCTAGCCTCTAGGCCTATGTGCTTTCCAGTAAATTCCAGAAAAGGAGAGCAATTAAAAGGCAGTTGCCAGGAAAAAAGTCAAAAGCAGGACAGAAATAGAAACAAAAACTAATCAAAATGTTAATGTTAGTGTTTTTTAAATGTTATTTTGGGGAATTTATACAAACACATAGAGTAAGAAAATTGTTTATAGTCAATGCAGTACTCACACTTTCGAAGTCCTTAGGAAAGCAGTATATAGAAAAAATATTAATACTAATACTGAGACTTAAAATTTTTTGCTTTACATAAATTAAGTACTTATGAAAATGATTTTCATAGACCTATCATTAATATTTGTTTATAGGCATTGCACAAAAAATGCAAAACAAACAAAAAATAATTCCATACCCCAAGACCTTCCAACGCAAATACGGCTGATGCCCCTGGGGATTCTGCAACCATCTTGCGATGCCAACGACGACGTCGGCACATATCCATCTTGCGCTCAGTACCATGGAACTTCATGTTGAAAAGTGGAGCGTACTCCCAGCCTTCTCCTAGAGCTGCTTTCTTCTTAGCCTAAGAGTAATATCAATAAATTATACTAATTAATGATACATATTATATTTTGTTGCTGTTGGTGTAAAGTGCAAGGGATGGAATATTGTTTATTATTATGTTTAGAAACTCTCAATTGTTAAGGTTTAGAGTAATAGAATCTTGCTTGATAAAATATGAACAATTCTGTGTACTGGCAATTATAAAATAATGACACATGTTCAAGTGTGCCTGTGCAATACATTATCAAAACAAGGTTGTAAAAAGTAGTATTGCCAGGGCCTTCTACCTATATATTTGGTTAACAAAACCAAAACATATGGTCAACGTGCTTTTTCTGTTCAAGCTCCTTCTCTGTGGAATTCTCTTCCTTTTTCCGTAATTCGCCTAATTTATATACTTTTAAGAAGAACTTAAAGTTTCAAATTTTTGAGAAATGCTACTGAGTTTGTTTTCTCCTGCGCCTTTGATAATTTTTTGAATTGGCGCTATATAAATGTTTATTATTATTATTATTATACACAGCATGGGATAATAGGGCATATAAATGCATTTATTTGCCAGCTGCATGTAGCTTCGTTCCTTGCCTGTGGATGCACACAGTGTTATATACCGAGCCCTTTTTTTTACATGGTAGATGAATTGTACCTAACAGCAAGTTCATAGCTATGCTGAATAACTCACAAAAGGAGGCAGCCAAGCTTAATTGCCTCTTGTACCATTGGGCCCTTTGTCACATGATTGCAATTTTTAACCAAAAAGCACTTAAAAACATCTTGGTATCATTCTATTTAATTAATAATACCTGATGTGCTGATTATAATCATAATTTTGGTCAATTGTGGACATCATTTTTAAAAATCAGGAAATTAAAAGAAGATATATACAATAATGAACAATCACTAACATATTTGATGTGCTAATAATATAATAATTATTTTATCAATCAATTGTGAACCTTAATAAGAAAAACTTCGAAGCAATTTATAGAGAATTCATACAAGAATTGAATAAAAACCAAACACCAAATTTAAAAATCATCTGTAAATGTAAAATCAACCTACAAAAATGCACAAGTCAAAAGAAAACAAGTGATTAAATCCAAAAATCTAAATTATATAAAGGATGCATCTTAAATTATATCAGAAAATATTTCTTTAAAAAAATTGCATTCCTGTATGTTCATGTCTAAATGATGCCTTTTTTATGGAATGAAACAATGCTCTACAAACCTAACTATCATTATGGAAGTAAGGTAGTGGACTTGTTATCATGCAGAAAAAATCTGGGTCTCTACAGGATTTGAACCCAGAAAATGCATTTAGGAAGTAAAGTACCCATAGATCACAACATGAACATAATAAGAATACAACTTTATAGAAGAAATATTGAAGCTAGACTGTGAAAACTCAGAGGAAGACAACCTGTGGAATTAAATAATTAGAAAGAAAAACTTGTGATTCATTATAGAAACTGTGATAAGCCAAAAAAATGGATGACTTGAATGTATTAAACATAAGAAAAATGTGACATGACTAAATATGGATGTGATGAACTTAACCCACTAATGATACAGTTTACAGAGGCATCAGGAAAGAAAAGGTAGCTTTTCCCAACTATTAATTTTCTTTGACAAAAAACTGATGTATGCCCATATTTAGTCATGATGTGCCTAAATATAGTCATGGTGTGATGTCATCATGACCATATTTAGGCATGTCTCATGTTTTTTGTCAAATAAAATTTTATAGCCTGGAAGGAGCTTCAGCATGACAGTAACATACAGTGTAAACTACTGCCTAGTACCACCTTCATATCAGCTAGACTAATTAGGTGCTATATCCATCAAACTAAACACTGACCACCATACAGAAATCTATTCAGCAATGCAGAGCCTGATACGAGTGAGAAGAGGAGTTTATAACAATCACAGTGACTACTAGTCTTTCTATCTTACCAATCAACAAACCTCATCCATTACACAAACACCAAAATAAAATTTTTAAAAATACAATAAATAAATACATGAATGTATGTACAAATATATGAATGAATGCATGTACACATATATGAATGAATGAATGAATGAATGAAAGAATAAAAGGAGTAAATGAAGAATGAATACATGGTGGAATGAATGAATAAACGATGGACTTAATGAATGAATTAATCAATGAATGACTGCACAAGGAATAAATGAAAGCATGAAAGCAAGAATGAATGAATGAATGAATAATGGAATGAATGATTGAACAATGGAAGAATGACTGAACAATAGAATGAAAAAATGAACGAATGATGGAATGAATGAATGAATGATAAAATGAATGGATGAATGAATGAACGATGGAATGAATGAACGATGGAATGAATGAATGCATGAATGAATGAATGAATGAATGATGGAATAAATGAATGATGGAATGAATGAATGACAGGAAGGAAGAATGAATGAATGGTGAAATGAATAAATAAATGATTGAATGCAATAAATAAATAAATAAATAAATCCCAAAGTAAAATGTTAAAATAAAAATTATCAAATATTCATTGAAATGGATTTTTTTTTAAATATATTAATTACCTACATTTTTAGTTTATTGTATTGTAATGTGTTTAAAATTATATTTGAAATTAATGTTCATTAACTATATTGGATTCTTACTATTTATTCAATTTCAAAGAAGATTTGATACACATTTTATTTGTACATTAATATTCTTACACTTTCATCTTCCTCCTCACTAAATGCCACTTTTTCATCTTTCATGAAATCTGGCAAAAATCCTCCCTGAATCCATACAAAGAACCAGATTTATTATTAGCTTTATTTTACGCTATATCTAAACAAATATGACGCTTATAAAATTTACTTAATTAAAATAAAATAATTACATAATAATAGTACTATTATTATTTTATTTACATTCCACCAACATTATTATAATCATTTTAAAATTTATTGAATTGTTTAATGATTTGGAAAACAAATCAACAAAAATATTAGCTTTATAATGTTAAACATTTTTGTATGATCATACATATTTTTCAATTTTTCGATTTGTCTGAAAGAAATTGTCCAACTTCAATTTATACTATATAGAATGCAATAAAATTTTTATCTTATCTTATCTGATCTAACTAAATCATTATTTAATTTTAATGATTAATTATATATTATAAGAAAAATATGATAGAAAAATAAGTTTTGAATAAAATTATTTTATACTTCAGTGAATTATGTTGTTTTTCGCATTCATTAAGATTGCATTCCTAACCAACAGTACCACATTCATTGCATCTGTGTTGCAAATTCTTGCAAATGTTTATAAAATAATTTTATTGCAAATAATAACACTGCTGAAGTACATACCAACAGATCATGAAGAGAAACACTCTTGGGCTTGCTAAAGCTAGATATTGCACTATAAAAAATCTTTTGACAAAAAAATATTAATGATAATGATAGTGTTTATATCATCTAACAGGGCAGAGGCTGGTATCAGCATTAGGGTAAAGACTTAATATTCAGAATTTTGAATAATAAATCACAATTCCAATAAAAACTCAATAAACATTTTTATTTTTTTTGATAACCAACTTAGGCAAACTAACTTGGAGCTGCACCCCCTTCCCCCACCCCAGCCTATGCCCATGTTAAAATAATGATTATTTGTGTGTTGATGAATGCCAATGCGTGCATATGTCAATACTATTATAACACAGGAATTCCTCAAAATCAAATTAATACTCTGGCAACCATCAAGTTATCAACTATGATTGAAATAATGGAAAACAAATGAATGAAAAAAAAAACAAACAAAAAAACTATGGAGTTGTATCAGTAAAAACTTAAAAGGTGTTAAACAATTTATGACAAAATATTATTTTGTAAGAAAATGTGAAGATTGAAAAACAGAAATATACAATGACGTAAAAAAAAAAATATTTTCCCCAAAATTGCATGTCAAACACCTGTAATTCAGAATCAACATCATCATGTTAGTACACAATATTGGAAACGCCAGGGATTTACTCGAAAAAGTTTCCAGAAAGAAAATGGGATTTACTCGAAAAAGTTTCCAGAAAGAAAATTAGTAAAAAGTTAACTTTTACGATGTTGGTAGTTGATCTTTGTAGTTATATTATCCAACAATTTTAAGCAACTACATAAAACTCACATGAAAAGCCATCTTAGAATTGTGGGGGTATTGGAGGTTTGCAGAAAAGACAAAAATATATATTTTTGAAATTTAAACATGAATAAACATATTTCCATATTCATCTTTAAGTTTTGTTAAGTAGACAAATTCAACGAAAAAATATAAAAAGTTGATTGATAAATTTGAAAAATATGACTGTGATAAATAATTATTATAGCCTTATTTCTCAATAAAAATACAGTGTGAATTTTGATGTCTTCAAAAACATATGGAAAAATATTGCCAGAACCGAGTACATAAATATGATGGCAGATGCGGTCTTTACATACAATATAGGAATGGTTGACAAAGAATTTGGAAAAAAGATGACATACTAGGAGAAGAAAAGAGGGGGACTTATGTTGAAACTCAAAATTCTATTAAAACTTGGAACAAACGTGCTTCAATCTAAAGCTATTTTTTTTTTAAAAGTTGGTTGCATAAAATTCCTATAAAAATTTTTGAGAAAAAAAAAATGCAAAAATAAATTGTTGACAAAATTCTATCATGCTCAGGATACGTACAGTTATGTATTTGAAGAAAATATATGCCTTTGAGAGGTAATAAGTAAAGAACAAGTGGAATGAAAAACAACAACAAAATAAACATTTAAACTTTAGGCTTTGTTGAATGAATGGTACCTGGAATTATTTTATGCTAATGGACAACAGCAACCAATGTAAATGACCATGGTGCAAGATTTGGTTTGATATGCTAGGGATGACATGAGTTGAAGACATATACAACTGCAAATTTATGAGATATGATGAACCTAAAATTTTCTTATGGGATGATGAGAAGAGCCTCCAACTATATTAAATTTATGACTAACAAGTGTCTATAATTATATACAATCTCTTAAGATGCTTAATACTAAATCTTTATGTACCCAACTATTACTATCTTTAGTTCATATGAAGAGAATTATATGAAGAAAAGAGGTTAAAATGTTTCTGATGTTTATAGGTTGTGCTGACCTATGACCATAAATGAACCAAGTGTGACATTTGTATCTGAAGCTAGAATATAATACAATAAATAAAAAATAAAAAAAGATTTAAAAATATTAAGCTAATTGTCAAATGAGATCATAGAAATTTGAAACAGTAGATATATATATAGCATTATATAACATAAGTAATTTAAAATGCATCAAAGAATTTTTTTAAAGTTGGTTTATTTTTCTAATTAAAAAAATTATATTACTTTAAAAATGGCTGAAAAAATGCATTTTTTTTGCAATATATCACTAATTACCTCAACTGCTTTTGGATCTGCATTGAGGAATCTGTTGCGTGCCCACCGCCTTCGACGGCACAGATGGTAAGTCTTTTCCACCGGCCCGTAGTTGCCCAGGGTGGCTTCAACGCAATATTCCCATCCTGCAGAAAAAAAAACAAACAAGTTTTCCATTAGATATATGAAGTAAACCAAATTGTACAAGAAAATATATTTTCATTGAAAATACAAATTTTTAAAGAGTTTAGACGAATACAATTCTTGAAAGGGTGCCATTGTAGGAAGCTTCTTAGGCCCTCAATCTCATTAGTATTTGGTATGGGGTCCTGGGGATCTAGCTGCACTCATGATGTTAAATGTAGCAGCAATTATGTTAAAAATGAATAGAAAAATGATAAACCTTCTTCATCCACTGCTCTGTTAACATCAAGGCACCAATCGTCCTCCCATACCCATCCCTCCGGGCAAGTGACTTCATCACGTGCGGTTGTTGCGTCACCACGCTATAGAGAAAATTAAATACAGTGTAATATAAAAATAATACAAATTTAACATTACAAAATTTGTCATTTTCATCACAGGTAGAATATGCAGATAATATATTTTAGATAGATTTTATAATTTATACAGCTTGGTACTATAAAAAATAATGCAAATTTAACATTACAAAATTTGTCATTTTCATTACAAGTAGAATATACAGATAATATATATTAGATAGATTTTATAATTTATATTATAGCTTGGTACTATAAATATAATACAAATTTAACATTACAAAATTAGAATGTACAGATAATATATTTTGGATAGATTTTATAATTTATATAGCTTGCTTTACAACAACTACGAAATATCAATGTTAATTTTAAAAATGATATTATATATTGTCACTCATTATGGAAATTATCAGTGTTACCATCATCTTTAAAATCATACTCATAGTGTAGTAATGAAGTTTTCCCAGATACTGTTTAACAAATAAATGGGCTTTTTTTATGTACAGAAAGTTCTACCCTGGTAACAACCACTTGCCAACTAGATAATCTCGGTTGGCAGTTCATCTAAACAGTTCTCTGGGGCCCACATGGTTTAATTCTCACTGTAACCTACATTTTTTTGCCCAACTAGCTTTACTACAAAAAAGAGTCTTATCAAGGTCTTCATTTTTGTCATTACTTCAACTCTTTCTCCCTCCCCACCCCCCCCATCCTCCTCCATTTTTAAAACTACCACCTCCTCTATTTGGCCATTATCTTTACTCTATGACGAGACCATTTCAATCTTACCACATCTGTGTAAGGTGTGGTGGCAGTCCCCCATTGCCCGCCTGGTATATTCCTAGCCTCGCACTCAAAGACGTCCTCCAGGAACTTTGTCTGTCCAGCATCGGCATCGTACAACAGACTATAAAAACAAAATAAAACATGTAAACAAGTTAAAAATATTTTAAACAATAAATTCTTGACTAATTGATTCATTAAACAGTGATTAAATAATAATAAATTGATAATGATTGATTAAACGGTGATTGATTATGCAATAACTAGTTGACTGATTTAACAATTGAGAGTGACTAATTAAAATTTGTTGATTAATTGATCGACCAATACAGTAAATGGTTGATTCTCAATACAGTGACTGACTGACTAATTACTTAATGGATGATTAAAATAGATAGATAAAATACTAATTTACTGCTTGATTAATTTTTTGACTAATTGATTAAGAGATTGATTATAGATTAATAAATCTTTTCCTTCGATAGGTCAAGTGTGATCCAAGCTCATGGTGCCACAATTGCTATATTAATCGATATATTAATTAACCTTTTTGCTATATACAATAAGATTAATAACTATGCCTATTATTAGTATCATTATACCAAGAATAAAAGAAAATGATGATGATGTTGATGATGATAATGATGATAATATTGATAAGAATGTTGATTAAGATAATATTGATAATCATATTGATGATGATGGTGATAATGATGATAATAGTGATAATATAACATATATATAATTATTGCATGCATATATCAGACAAAAAAAATATATATATTTATATATATATATATATATATATATATATACATACATACATACACATATACCCATATTATTCCTATGTTTTCATTATCCATACTGAAACTACATTTATAAAAATAATTTACTTATGGCTCTCCATTTGTAATTATAAAGCATTAATTATTAAAACAATCCCAGAGTGCAATGCAATTGAAAGCATGTTAGTTCCAATGACACTAGACGCCCCCTCCTACAATGTCAGCGTGCACTTCACAAATGCATTGCTACGCTAGCTAGAATAAAGAGGCAGCTAACCCTTCTGTGGTTTCCTCTTTATCCCCTTTCTTTTTCTTTTTCTCTTTCTTTTTCTTTTTCCTTTTGCTACCTACTGTCATAACCACCATGTTTTTTCTATGAATCAGACAAGTGACAATATGTCATTGAAATGGTTAATCAAAAAAACTAACTTGCATAATTGTGATGCATTAAGTAAAAAGCATTAAAAAATGTGTGCATTCTATTCGAACACTTTCTCTAGAAAATAATATGTTCTAAAAAGAGATACCATTCAAACTGAGCTAATTTGCATTCCATGCAAAAAATTTTTTTTTTAAATTCGTATATAAAAAATGAGCTGCCTGCTGAGCCCTATGAAGATAAGAGAACCCAAACAGTGAATCCAAAGTTTTTGGTTCAAATCCTGATAAGGCATTTATTTATTTATTTATTTTATTCTTTTTAAAATTTTAGTCAGACTTTATCTAATATTATTATTTTTCAATATCAAATATATAGAGTATTTAATTGTATTCAATTTGTTTGAAAAAGAAACAAGTTTGAAACCATCAACCTGAACCACCTATTCAGCCTTCAACCAAATGTAAGGCAATGCATATTCAAACTTACCTTAATTCTGGGCTGACAAACCAATCTCCTGCCCACCTCCACCCTTCAGGGGGCTTAAACTTTTCTTTGGGAAGTTTTATCTACAGAAAAACAGACAAACTGTTTTGTCAAACAATATCAATCATTCTTGTCCAAGTATAAAATAAAAATGAATAAACAAACACATACATATATTACAATGGACATTTTAGTACCAATCAAACTTAACAAAGAATATATGAAGTAAATTGAAACAAATGACTTATCAGCCATTAAGCAAAGGTTAGTATACTTACGTCACCACTTGCATCAGAGAACTTAGGTCTTGGCATACCTTTCGTTGTCCAGTCTACTATAGGTAGATTGATTTGGTTTTCATACTGAGACAGAAATAAGTAACATTTTAGATTGTATATGTTATATTGCATTGGACATGGTCATGCATCAAGATTGAATGTATCTCGATGGATGCATGTATCTACACAGCTAGGCATCTATATAGTAACATTAAGCACTGATCAAAATGGGTTTACCAATCAATATGATTAGGATTACGTGTCTAGAGAGGCACATGTATCTTGATAGGTCTATGCATTGACATGAGTCTGAGTTTGTGTATCTACAGATGGGTCAATGAAACTAAATGGATGACTCATATAGATGGACAAACCTATATCTACGTTATCTAGTTAGGTCTACACATCTAGATGGGTCTACGCATCTGCATGGGTCTACGCATCAACATGGGTCTAGTATCTAGCATGGTCTACATATCAACATGAGTCTACCTATCTAAATCTCTACACACCTACATGGGTCTACATCCGCACAAGTTCACGCACCAATGAGTCTACGCATCTTCATGGTTGGGTGTACACAGAGAGATGGAGTAGTGCATGTACATGGTTTTATGTATTAAAATATGGTTTACATATCTAGATGGGCCTACTGTAGGTATATTAACATGAATATATGAATCTTAATGAGTGTACACATCAAGATGGGTGTGTACATTTACATGTCTAGGTATTTAGATGGTTCCACATGCTCTGGATATAAGTATACATATGTAGATGGGTCTATGCATATGAGATGTGTCAAAGCATTCAGATGTGTCTACATACTCAATCAAATAACAAATTTATTCTCCAAACTTTCTCATGTACGATATGTATATACACATTTTAAAATGCATCAGCACTACAACCATAATATATTTACATTAAATACTAAAACATATTTTAAATAAACATATATTGAACTTACAGTTTCTGCGAATACTGCCATGCTTCCATCAGTCTGCTCATTCTGCCAATTGCCCTCGTCAGTCTCTAGGCCAAGCCAGAGCTTCATGCGAAGCATACCAGGCAACTGATCCGCACCTAGGGCTACATCAGCCTTGGATCCTGGGTACTATCACCAAAAAGAATAACAATAATATTATGTCAAAGTAAGCCATTTTTAGTATATAAATAACGTTAATAGGTAAATATTCTTTGACACTTAAGCCAAAAGTAAACTTCAAGTACTGTACTAATATAGTTTCGACCAACTTTGTTGGTCCTCTTGAGGTGAATAATCTAACGTGTTAGTTTGCGAGAGTGAAATGAACTAACTTATGTTAGGTCCTTCACTTGCAGTGGACCAATGAAGTTGGTTGAAACTATAGTGGTCCATGAAGTTTACTTTTGGCTTATGTATCAAAGAAAATTTACCTAAATATTAGAAGCCAAATGAAATTATTTTAACAAAATGTGAACAATGTATTTACTGTCTTTAAAGAAATGCTCACAAACGTTTTCAACCGAAGGTTTTCTCAAATGAATATATAGGCATACATACATACATATATAAATTAGTTATACTGTGTAGCACCATGAATACAATATAAACAAATAGATAAATATTAAAATAATAACAGGGACATTGTTTGAAGTTTTGCATAGCGAAGTAATAATATATATTAATGCCTGCGGTACACCACGTAGATATATTAACCAGGGATTTAATAGGGGTTACAATATGACATATATACAACATCTGGAACACAATTTCTTCATTCACAAAGCAATAAAATACATATATACACAATTAAAAAACTGTATTAATGGACCTTGTAGAAGGAAAAGGGAAAAATATAAATAGTTATTTAAGCACATTGCCGCTGATGTAACCCATTTAAGCTCCATGAAATTAAAAGTGACAGATTAACTCAACTTGGAATACATGTATACGACAAAATTACCGTAAATACTTGGATAAGCGCCACTTATAACATTATTAGAGGCTTTAGTGCGCCGCTTAGTCGAGAGCAGTGCTTATTCAAGAGTGGCGCTTATAAAAAAATATTAGCGTGGCCCTTATTACCCACATAGCTTGGTTTCCATACAATTGCTACATGCTATCATCTACAGCTTTCAGTGATGCTGATTGATCGATCAAATCATGGAGCCTTATGATTGCGTCAGGAACTGCTATGCAGTACACTGTAGCAACAGTGTTCCAATCTTAAGAAAACCAGGCTTATCTCACGTATTCCCATAGTTCAGTAGGCCTATCATATGTCCTACGTCATCGTAAATAAACGTTTATAAAGAAATGATTGTGTCTTCATTGTATTTATTTTTTTTAAACACTTTATATACATTATTTAAAACCCTGTTTCTCAAAGTGTTTCATTACACACAGGGTAAAATTATACTCTTGATTAAGCGCTGCGGCGCCTATTCGAGAGTGGCGCTTAGCTAAAAAAAATCAGGTTAGGTGCGGCGCATATTCGAGAGTGGCACTTATTCAACATTTACAGTACACTCAACATAAATGGTTAGAGAAAATACAGGGGAGATCCAGAGGTGTCCAAAAGGGGGCTGAAAGTGGGGCCGATCAAGATAACACCATCCTAGGAGGTGTAAAATAACCTCTGAGGCGTTTTGGGCGATCTATTTTTTCATTTTCTTTTCTTTTTTTTAACTTTCCAAATTTCCGCCCCTGAAATAGAAGTACAGGTTGCAGAGCTACTGTATATCAAAGCTGTACCTAGGTAAGGTGGTAAGTATTTTACTCCCAAGTCCCACAACCCTACATAGCTACAGCTCTGAAACAGGTAAACCGCTGTTGAGGCTGACACATAACTGTAGGTGAAATGTAAGTTTATGATTATTTTTTTAATCCAGCAAATTTGATATATTTTATTTGAAACAACATTGAAACAATGAGCATAAAAGCAATACAAAAGCAGATTACTTTAGAAAATATCAAAAAAGCAATAAACAAATCAATGTGCAAAATAAAGTAAAATAAAATTTAATAACATATTAAAGATGAACTTTCTGTCAAGATAATTGGCAAAAACTCAAAAATTAAATTAAAAACCAGTGAGCATAAAAGCAATACAAAAGCAGATTACTTTAGAAAAACAAAAAAGCATTAAACAAGTAAATATACAAAATAAAGTAGAATAAAATAAAACGAAGTTTAACAATAATATTAAGTACACGATAATGGGGAAAAATTCAAACTCCACATTTATGGTACAACATAGCAATATCAATTTAAAGCTACAGAGCTGAAGTCCACAGCACAAAAGTCAAATTTGAAGAATCAATGCAAACACGTGCAGCTGTTTGTATATTAGCTCGGAGAAAACAGCTTCATTCAGGTCTGTTTTCTCATTAATATGTTACTTATTAGCAATTATAGTAGAAACAGTACAACAGGTGCCACATATACCAATTAAAACCATTATTACTTTGGCAACTGTTACAGTGGTTTGATTGGGCATATATACCAATCATATAATACAGAGATAATAACTTGGCTTGGGTATTTTATTTGGTCTGATAAAAATTAAAAATGCAGATTTCAAAAAATTAATTTCAAAATACATCCTTGGAATTTTAAGGCTTTAAAGAATATGTGTAAACAATTAGGTAGGTTCTTGCTAGAGTGTGCTTATATATATTCCTCTCAATGGGGTTCAAGTTTTTCTCAAGAGGTATATAAACACTTCTGAAGAGTTTGTAAACCTTAAAATCCATGTGAGGAGGAAGAGGGACTAAGCAACAGTTGCCATAGTAATTATGAATTGTGCATTTGGGATTGCTATGGCAATCATACCCCAAGTGGTGTTTTTTCATCTGGTTTCTTTTCCTCTTCTCCAGGTTCCTAAAGAAAAAGTTTTAAAATATACCCAACAACATCAATTAAGCCCTACATGTCATAATATCATCAGCTTTTTTTAAATAACAGATATTAACATGTATATTTTTTAACAATTTTAAAACAATGATAAAACTAATAATGACAGAAGTTATAAGAACCATTAAAAAAAAAAAACAATATCATTGGTTTTCATTTCAAATTAATTTTTATATTGATGAGTTTTCAGGTTCATGCTATCACAAATTAAAATCTGATATATTATGACATTTAGGTAAGATAAAACCAAGAGAAAAAATTGTGGAGTACATGCAAATAAAAATTTAAAAAATGAATTTTTTTTTTGTACTTAAGAAATACTGTGCAAACCACACCTGACACAAATATTTAAAAATATATATAATTGTATTAATATATTTGCATTTATAAGTTAAACTAACACTATTACTACACATATGTACATCATGTACATTCATGTTATTTTAATTGCTGGTGGCATTTGTATAAAAAATGTATTAATATGTAACCTCTGGAAATTTATGACAATTTATTTGTTTTTTAATATTTTTCTAATTAAATGATATCAGACTTCTCTAGAAAGTAATAAATTTATAGGAATAAAATAGTTAGTAGAACCTAGAATCATAAAAACAATTTGCATAATTAATGAGAAAATATTTGAAAATATGCAAACTGATAAAAAAAAAATGCTAATACTAAATAATCAAGTTTAAAATATGCTAATTAATGCAAAACATACCTTCAAAAATATACTCTGGATTTTGGCACAATAACGACCACAGGCATCAGGATCTCGGGATGAATATAAGATCTCGTAAGCAGGAATACGGTAATAGGCAATACGCGAGGACCCACTGATCATCCAAATAACCACATCTGGCATACTGTTTTGTGGCTGAAGAAAGAAGATAATAAGGCTTAAAAGAACACATATATACACAGGAATATATTCTCCACTCACTCGCATAATTTAAATGTAAATACGAAGTGAAGATGAGTTAGAGTTTTTGCTATGTATGTTTGACCATCAACAATTAATAGACATGTACACTTCTGTTTTGATAGCCTCTTATAAGCCTCAAAGATAATCTATTGGCAGCTTATTCAGAGAAAAAAATATATAAAAACTAAATTACCAGTAGTGTATTAGAAATTTATTACTTCTAGTGAGTTTGGGCCAATGCCCAACTCATTAATTAGTTAAATTGAAGAGGTAGGTCTCAATTGTTCCTTAAATGGTATAACAGAAGAAGATGAGACTAATTCTAATTGTATGAAGCTGTGTATAAGAAGGACCTTCTACGGCTCAGATATCGTATTTATTAGAATAAACAACTTGCTTTCAATAAATTCCCCCTCGAATAAACGCCACCTAAAAAACCCTTCAACAATAAATGCCACTGTTCGTTTATTCAAATAAATACGATTACCATATTATACGATTACCGTATTTATTTGAATAAATACGATTACCGTATTTATTCAAATAAATACGGTAATCGATAACTCAGAATACCTCAATAGCAAGCTCTTTCAAGATACGCAGATATCCATCAACTTCATCAAGAGCATCATTGACATCTGTGGCATTCTCACGCAATTTAGTCGCATCGATGACAATGTTGTTAAGCTCTTTTTGGCGCACCGCATATCGTTTCTTGTCAAGATCGTTGAACTTGTCCTTTATTGGGTCAAGTTCCGGAATTGGAACACTGTTGGAATACAAGTGTGTGCATGTTACTATAAACAATGAATTAACGAAGATGAATAAATGTAACCAATCAGAAACGAACAGGTCTAAATCATTAATACTTAGTTAAAACTAATCCGATTAATTCCCACTATGAAAATTAAAAACAAAAATCTTTGGAAAATCTTTTGAAACTTGAGAATAGAGAACATTTGAGGAGCAACATTTAAAAAGAAAACCATTAGAAAAAAAGGTATCAAAAATGGCAGGAAATCTTGGGAACCTTCAGGAAACAAATAATTTCTCACCTGCAGTCTGCAATCAGGGAATCAATCATTCCAATCAACTGTGCTGCTACTTCCGTAGTCGGCATTCCTGCTTTTATACTATTTCTCACATTCTTCATGTTCTCTTCCTGTATTTCATAAATAGTTCACAGTTTTTACATGATATTGAAAGAAAGGTACAGTATGTGCTTTATATTTAGCAGCCTATGCAATTAAGCACCTAGAGTAGAGTATGCATTTGGCAACATATTGAAAACGGTTTTTTAAATCTTTTTTATATATTTGTAAGTATTAAACAGATTGAATGAAATAGAATAACAAAAGATCGTTATTCATTTTTTAAAAACCATATTTATAGATGGTGACCCTGCCAGCGTATCCTAGAAGGTCAGCTGATATTCAGTGGTCCTTTTAAATAAATGAACTGATGTGATGTTTTTAACTCTTTATGAGGCTTAGGTAGTGGAGTTGATTTTAGTAGCGAGAAAAATTCCTGCTGTGACAGGAATTGAACCAACACTCTGGGATTCAATTTGACATACTAGATACACCTAGTTTTATTATGATCCTTATCAAATTTTATAATATTTTTCCGCATCAAAAATTTAGAACTGGCACTCACAAGCCGATCAATCTTATTGAGGAGCATGTTGAGTGTGTCGAGACGGAAGCTGATGTCTTCCCAATGAGAGTTGACGATCACACATGGCTTGGTGTCGGACCAAGGCAAGAAGTAGTAGTTACACCCATCAAAGACGGCATTGGTTGGCTGGGTCGTTGAAGGCTGCGGATCCGTTGATGTATCCAGGATATTACCGTAGTTTCCAATGCTAATTTCAAACTCAACCGGAGCATCTACTTCACTGATCATAGTCGCGTGGAGAAATGCACCGTAGAGTCGATACTTGCGACGACGGAGGTAGCGTTGAACAGACACCACTTCCTTGTGGTCGATTTCTGCTATTGGTATATCAGATTCCTCACCGATCTTAGTGGTTAGGCTAACCAGGACACGCCCACGGAAAGCAACACCCTCACCCTACAAAATATAATGTGTCAATTTAAATATCATTTAGGCAAAGGTAATCCTGTTATTAATAACAAAAATAATAATATATAACAATAATAATAATAATAATATATTATTATATTATTATTATCTTAGATGGAAGAGGTACTGTATATGGCCAAGTGGTTTTGGTGATGATGGCAGTGGCGGTGGTGGTAGTGGTGATGGTGGTTGTGGTGATGGTGGTTGTGGTGGTGGGGATAAATGTGGTGGTGGTGTTGGTGGGGATGAATGCTGTTGTAGTGGTGATGGTAGTGGTACTGGTAATCGTGGTTGTGGTGATGATGGTGGTGGTGATATTATAATGGTTTGGTTGTGGTGATAATGGTGGCGATGACGATGATGGCTGGGCTGGTGATGATAGTGGTCGTAATTGCGGTTGTGACAAAGTGACAAAGGCAGTAATGACAATAGCATAACATTCAAATTCCTTACAACTCCTTTGTTGAGGTCTTCATACTGGTCTGGGAGGTCGGTGAACTCTCTAGTTGACCCATAAAAGTTTACGAAGCAAGGTCCAAAGGTTGGCAAGAATCCTTTAAAGTAAAATAATGAGAATAATTAGTATTTTTTATTATCTATTCTCATTTCTTCTATATCACCATCATCTTGATCCTCATCCTTATCATAATCCTCTCTCATCATCATTTTTATCAGCTTCGTGCTACCCACCTCACCATTATCTTCAGCATTTGTTTTATTATATTCATCATTCTCATATTATCTTCATTATTATCCATATCGATATCACTGCCTCTTACTTTAGCTTATTATAATCATGATAATCAATAATCAGCAATAAAAATCAATCATCCTCATCATAAAACTAATTATCCTCCTTGCCATCATCATAATAATATAAGTGGACAGAGGGATATGCAATCAACTATTTTAGAATTGCATTTAAGAATGATTATAAAAATTCTTCAAACATTTAGTAAAAATGTGTTTATTTTTTGAAAATCATCAAATAAAAGTAATTTCCTTAAAAACCACATGCAAACTCTAGAAAAATTAAAATTGGGGTATCTTGAAAACCTGTAAGGTAATAAATCCAGTATAAACAAACCAAATGTACTGCAGTAGAACACCAAATGAATGTGGAAAAGAAATTAAAAACAAAGAAATGACAATGAAACACAATACTACCATTGTACATCAAGAAAAGAAAATAATATAGCACATGACATGAATACAAAGATACATATAAACCATCTATATAAAGAAATAAACCAACATCTGAAAATAAATATTTTTTTAAAAATAGACTTGTGTTGGTGAAGATAAAATTATGAGATAAATTCACTAATGAATTATTATTAAATCATAGTGAAATTCTTCATGCATAGGTATATTTTTTTCCAAGAAATCTAAATGTAATGAAAACATAACACCATGGAACCAGATAAATTTCTTACATTTTGATACATAATCACAACAAATATGAATCATTTAGAACTCTGTAACACTGGAAAACTCTACTACACAGTGAATTATAGTAAAGTTTATTTTAACTAAACCAAATTTGAAATCTCAAAAACATACAAAATTTGACCCAAACTCAAATACTATCTATTGTGAACACCATTACATACAAACAAATCTAAAGAACCTTAAAACCACAGCTCATGAATATTTATCAAGCTGAATATATCATCTACTCATAAATATTCAAGTTCAGTATAATACTTTATGATTATTCATCAAGGTGAAATATCATCTACTTCTATTGAAACTAAAATTTATAGTTTCCTACACAAAAGATGACAAATTTTATAGCTTAAAAAAAAAATGTGTGTACCGAAAATAAATTCAAAACCATATACATAACAATCTAGAAACTACAATCAACATGACACAATGCAAATAAACGTAATATCTACTGGACTACATGAGGAGTGATAGAAGATTGGATTGTGAAAATTGGTGTCTCCATGCTGTAGTTTCTCAATTTTACCTATCATGTTTTCATTATTTTCTAATAACTCCTCCACTAAATCATCTGCAGACATCAATAATTTGATAGAATTACAAATAAAATAATATTCAATCAGATAAGAAAAGAAAATTGTATTGCTTGGCAGATGAGTATAAAAAAATATAAATGCAAATAATTCACAAAAAGAAGACAAGATTTATACATAATAAAAATATACAAATGACAATGAAAATAAAATGGATAAACTGTTATCAAAAATGTTTGAAAGTACAGTTAGCTAAAACCACAAAGTGTTCATAATGTTAACTAAAAAGTTAAAACCTTAATGTCTTAAAATTATTTAAAATATTATAAAAGTTAAAAAACTATTAAAAACACTTTAGATAAATAATATGAAACGTTAAAAATTACAGAATGAAATAAAATGAGTTACAATTATTTAAAATGATATGAAAGTTAAAACTGTTAGAAAAACATTAAAAATTACAGTATTGCAGCAGACAATCATTTAACATTAGAATTAAACTCATGGACACTATGTACAACAAATGAGTTCCTTGTTCTACACATCTTGGGGGTCGTAGCCTAATACCAGAAACTAATTCTACAATTGTAAAATATCATAAAACTATGTCATGCAATCTGGAATAAAGGGCGGAACCAAAATTTATATTATAATGTAGATACAATTTCCTTAGTAATTTAAAATTAATTCCAAATTATATGTTTATAAACAGAAAATAAACCTTCATGTTCTGGTAAAAATTCTTCGTCGCCTGTTTCACAGATTTCATAAGAAAGAAATAGTTTATAATTTTGTAACCTAAATTTTGCTTTACTTCTACCAATATTGAGAGCAAAGCTTAGAAAATAATTAGCAATGGTATATTCAACTGTAGAAAAAAAATTTATACTGTATAATTATTGTATATAATAATAGATGGCAGTCTGGTCTCTAATGAAAATGATAAATAAACATTAATATATATGTAACATATTGTGCATATAATTTCAATTATAAATTATACTGGACCACATGTTAGAACAGGCTTGTACAGATGTCTTCATGTTTTAGAGGCTATAAAAGAGGCCTACACAAGTCGCAACTATGAATAAGTATATGCACAATAGTGTACATACGCAATACTCTGGGTGACCATGTGTGGGCGCACACACAAAGACGTACATTTACACCATACGTAGGAGTCTTAAAATAGAGGGGGGGGGGAGTTCAAATGTGAAGTGGAAGGCTCAATTATTAGATGAGAGGGTGCAAGTTACAAAATACTGTAAGGTCATTTTTAACTACTTGAGCGATTTTCTAGGGGCCCTGGCACACCACCCTAGATATGTCGCTAAACACAGTATATGATAAATTTGATGACATATATATATATATATATACATACATTAATGGATAAATATATAACAATATTCGATAGTTGGTATGCTTATATTGCATACTATGTTATTTAACAGTATACATACCTTCTTCACCGGGACTTGAGATTTCAGAAACGTTGAGGAAGTATGTGCCCACATAATCATCAGATGACAGACGATCCCTGGAAGAAAATGAAAATAATATCAACCTGGGAATGTCCAGATTTTTATTATATTTCATAAGAGTACAAGACATGATGAGGGAGGGAGAGAAGTTAACAGGATTTTAAACTGAAAACAATCATTATTTTCTTGTTTATCCTTTCACAGAAAAAGGTAAACTGCATCACAGCCAATAAAAGGTGGCCAGCTTAGGATCTATTGAAGAATGTAGACTCCCCAAGATTATATAGAGCACCTATTATCATATCGTATAAAAATCAATTTCTGTAGGCTACGATAGTTATTAAACAATACTACTGTATATAGTCGACCATTGCATGATAGGGACATGCGAGGCTTACCAGTCTCGAACTCGAAATTTGATTCGTTCACACATCGATGGAAACTGAAATGCAAATAAGAAAGAAGAAATTATTTACTGATTTTATTCTCTAGTGTTCTCAGTAATTACTGTAAATATCAAGGAACTACAAAAGTAAATCTGTGTTGGAATTTTTACCTTGATGGGTACCCTGAGTTCCTGGTTCCAGTCTGGATGGTCATTGCAATATTTAACATCAGTTTTAAGCTGAAAGAAAATTAAAAAATGATAAGTCACACTTAAATTCAGATAATGCTGCTGATAATGCTAATGCTTAAAATAATTATGATGATGATAATAATAAAATAATAATAGATGGATTTATATAGTGCAAATAAACAAGGTCTCTATGCGCTCAGATGATGATGATGATGATGATGATAAATGACATTGATGATGATATTTATGAAGATGATATTGATGAAGATGATATTGATAATGATGACAATGATAATGTCAATACAACTGATATCAATGGAAATAATAATGATGGTAGCAATTACGAAAATGATCATGAAGACAATTATTATGAATAGGATGCTTTACCTTGTTACCAGCAAATTTACACTCAAAGTAAGGATCAACAAGCTCCTTCTGCTGGTCAGCAACTCCAAATATTTTCTTGACACCCTCAAAGAAACTGGGGTCCACTACAAGAAGCAAAAAATGCTTTCATTATGATAAATACAAGAGAAAATATAGTCAAGAGTACTACTTGATGATATTACAACCAAGCCAAAAGTAAAAGAAAAAGTAAACATACTAAAGCCGCGCTATACTTCACCAACAGACTGATTGGGCGATGTTTGTTTACAGTCGGACATGTGACTTAACTTGGGTATACATGAAAAACATTACAGTGCGATTGGTATAAGAAAAGACAATGTTATGGTTGCAAAAACAACCACCCACTGTTAAGGTGAGAAATAAAGGACTAGGAAAGGCAATAACAGTTGTTCAAAATAGTGTTTATTACCTCATCCTAGCATTCCCCTAGAATTGTATGCTTTGGAATTTAAGTGATCATTCAAAAACTTTAGCTAGCCCTGACAACGCAGCATAGTTCGCGGGTTGAAGACCATCATGTATACCTAACCATGCAATAGATGTGCAGGGGGGTAGGTCTAAATATTTGTCCAAAAATCACAGCCAGTATCCCTTACAGCATTAGCAAACCACCATGGCAAAAGTTTAATTTCAATCAATTTGGTATATTTTACTGGGAATTATGATGATCTTTACAGCAATAACAATGGACGTCCGCAATAGCAATCTCCATGTAAAACACCGCCAATCAATCGTTTATATCCAACACCCAAGTTAGGTCATGCGACGCCCATCGCCGAATTTATCTATTGTCATACATGATTCGATAGGGAATGCAACATGATGAGGCTTCACCTAATGGATCGTTTTTAATGATACCTCCATTCACTCTGCCATCAATTATTTTATTCTTATTATCTTACCAATCATTTGTTGGTTGGTTAGTTGATTGGTTAATTAATTAACTAATATTTGATATCTGATCCATTTATGAATACTTACAATGGTTACACTAATCTTAGTTTATTCATTTCAACAACAAAATTATAAAGACCAAGCAGTATGAATGTCACTCCAAAAATTGGCCATTTTTGCAATTCTATAAAGAAGTACAGTCACTCATTGATACTATCACTATATAATTTTAATTGCTGCATGTAGGATTATATAATAATTATATTTGTCATCAGTTGTACTTATCAAGAGTATTTATTACATCAACACGGCATAGATTTTAATGGATGAAGGATTACTGGATAAAATATAATGGTAATACAGGATGATGAAAGCTAAAGCACGCCCTTTATGTCAGCTCACTTACTTTGTGGAATATCTTCAGCGTGAAATACTTTGAGCTTGAAGTATCCACGCCTTAACTGCATACCTGCAGGTCGTAGAAGGTTCCTGAAATATTGAAATATCAATATGTAGAAACAACATTTCAAAAACACTGTTTTTCTAGTTAATTTAATGCAAAAACATAAAGCTCAAACATATTTTGTAGTAAGAGTGTATAAGTATAAAGATATATAAAAATACAAGTGCAAAATTACGAAAGCACATAGTAACTAATGTGCTATCCATTTTATATTTCAGCATTTACAAGAGTACAGAACATACACTGGGGTGAGGGGGGAGGGAATGTGCATATAACCTTTTGGGAGAATTTTTAGCTCCGATGAGGAGCTCTAGAAACACTCAGCTGATTGATTGTTTTTTTTTGTATGGGCGGCTGTTAGGGCCAATATACTCTACTGCCTCTACTATACTACCCTCATCCAAGCTTTCGAAATTACGAGAACTTGTTTAAGCACGATGATCTGAAAACTATGTCAAGCATGATTATATTTTGTACTATTTTGGAAAAGGGGAGGGTGAGTCACAGAACAAAGTTTTGTACTTTCTAAAAATATGAAAATGGATGAACTCTTGGTAAAGCTGGTACACAATATTTTTAGACAAACAAAATTTAAAAGGACAATATACAATATTTTAGTCTGCAATATAAATAAACAATTCTCATTATGTTTTATGTCCAGCTTAATTGTAACTTGTAAAGTACCAGTATACATTGTGCTTTGGCAACTTTATCATTTAATGTTTCTTTGTGTATAATACAACTATGACATTAACGAGTGCACTGCATGCAACACATTTTTTTAATACCAATAAAACTTAACACAAGTCTATTTTTTGTTTCATTGGCAACAATGAATCTAAACTATAAAAAAGACCAAAGTTGAGGATCTGTGTTGTTGACGAATTAATCTCTATTTCTAAAGGGTGTGACGCCATCTACTGATTGTTGTTACAGTAGCTGTCTAGACTTTATATCAGGAAGAAACTAATACTTCTATTAATCTATAAATTGTTAAAATCTAAGGTATTCGATACTCTAATATATTTAAAGTGAGCGATTACAAATATTTTAAAATGCAATATTCCACCCTAAAAATTGTACTCACGATTCAATGTGAGATTTGTCATCAGCTTTCTTGAAAACCTACAAATATAGAAAAATATATATAAACAATCAAATGAAAATATATTTCTAAATATTTACATCAGTATATATTTATTTGATTTATCAGAGACAATGAGCATTAATAGTTGATTATTTATCAACAATGACTTCAAAATTGAAGTAGTTACTTGTGTCAACAAGTTAATAAAGTCCTAGTTTCCATAGAATAGCTATACTATTGCCATATTGTTTTAATGCAATCGATACACTGTGTACTGCCCCCAAAGCAATTGGAAAGGCTCCACGATTTTCCAACCAACCAGAATCACCAAAACCGGAAGCAATAGTGTGCAGCAATTTTAAAGAAACCAGGATTAAAACAAAAGTAAATCTGTCTCGTGTTATAGTAATTTTTGATGAACTTACAGGAGCCTCATCTCCAGCTCCAATAATGCAAACACTGACGAGCAAATAACCTTTGACCCCTCCTTGAGTGTCTTCTGGGCTTGACAGGAGCAGCCATTTATTTGATAGAAATTTATTTGGCTCGTCCCAGACTGTACCAACATCGAATGCAAAACTTCCTAGCAACGCATCGCTACGAAGTTTGCGCGAATTGAAAACCTAAAAGAAAATGAAAAGAATACGATCTCTTACAGTGTGGTACTATTAGTAATACTGTAGTAATGTGTAGTGTATTGCGATGTATTATAGTGTAGTGTATAGTATTACAGTGTCCTGTATATTAAGTAAGTGTAAGTGATATTCACAAATTATTAGAATATTTATCATTTATCTAATGCCAGTTAATAGAAAAATAAATAAAATTTAACAACACATTTTAACAGATCAGATCAGTTGAAAATCTAGTTAATGTTATAAAATTATTTTATTTTATTTTTCTTACCTGAAAGGACAACATTTCATCCACCAATTCAGCTGGGCTTGTTTGTACATTGTAGAAGAATATCTATAAAATAAAAATGTAGTGCTATGTTAAAATAATGGCGGCACCTACTACTATAAAAACTCAAATAAAAGCCCAATGGGCTTAATCTCGAGAAGAAGCCCATCTCTTTAGTTTGCAAAAGTAGCCTTAAAAAGAAGCCTATCTCTGGGCTCCTTTTCGAGATAGTACAGTACATACATTGAATTTCAAAGAAACCAAATAAATTAAAAACATGCTTGATTTACATAGTACAGAAGTGATATAATGCTCGTTAATACATACTATTAAACACACTAACATTACAGTGGCCCTATTTATTGTTTTATAGTAGTAATTCCCACAATTTACAGCATTCATTTTGAAAAGAAGCTCCCCCTCTTTACTTTGCAAAAATAGTCTCAAAAAGAAACCCATCTCGAAAAAAGAAGCCCATCTGAAGTTCGCCAAAAACAAAAAAAAACAAAAACAAAAAAGAGAAGCCCAGGGCTTCTATCCAAGGTTTTACAGTATGTCACAGTTTGACATCTAGGTCAAAGTTGAGGAGGAATATTTAACTTTGTAGCTAAAAATTTGTAAGGTATTAGGAAAGGAATGGATTTTAGTTTCCCAAACATTTTTTTATTGTCCTGTTTCTAATCTATTTTTCGAAAGAGTGAAAAAAAATGCTTTTTCTTGAAAATGTTTAAGTAAATTGAAATAAAAATTTAAAAGTAATGTTTTCAGACATATTAATATTTAATAATATATTTCCAATGTGGATTTATCTGATGCGTATATTTTTCCAAAACATTAAATGTTGACATAATAAAGTTAAGTGTTACTTTAAGGATATAAATATTAAACAATACAAGTTTACTTGTGAGGTTTAATCTTGGTCATAGTGAACCTAAATAAACCGACCTGTTTTTTACCCGAATATACCTACTATATATCACGAGTACATATATTGTATAATATGTATATATATATATATATATTATGTACTCCCTAGGTGATTATATAATTGACCATAGATTAATGAGCACACTTGGTAATTTGTTTTTTTTTTTTGCCAGATGTTTAGCAAATCCTAAACAAATTTATTTTAGTCGCCCTACTTTTGAGTGAGTTAAACTTATGTAAGCTTCATATTATTAATAGCAATTAATCTGGTGCATTAGTCCTTCTATAGTATAATAACCAATGAGAGCATAAAAATGTATCAGGTTTACAGCATCACAGCCAATCACAGAATGGGAGGTTCTGGATGTTTAAATTCTACAAACATGGATGGATTAAAAATTTATAATGTGTAAATTTCAAAAATGATCAAAAGCGTAGTTTATGCTCAGCGTTTGTCATATAAATATGTTCTTGAATTAAATTTAAATGAAAGTAGTCAAATCATAACAAAAAGGGAAAGGTGATTTTTCTTTATTTTTATTATTGAAATCTTCAAAGATAAGATATGTATATTTCTTCCTAATCATATGTGGCAAAGACAAGCCAAACCAGTCACTCGTCGCAAATCGTGTTTCAGAGAAAATGGCCAAATCATGCTGGAATGTCAAATTTTTGAAAATCTATTTTATTGCACTAAACTAACCTTTATATAC